TCCCGGAGTCTTGTCTGGTGGTGTGGGAGGTTGATGCGGAAATCAAGCGGGCGTTACGTTCCGATCCTACTCCTCCAAGTGTCCATAGGGTCGGAAGTACGTGCAGCTCGAGGTTCTCGATCGTTTGATATACTTGGCTCACACGTCACCCTCCTGGTCATCCGGGTATTGGTCGGACAGTGCACTGCCTTAGTGGGAAGTACTGGTGGCCTACTTTAGCGAAGGACGTGAGGGTTTATGTTTCCTCCTGCTCGGTGTGCGCTCAGTGTAAGGCGCCTAGACACCTGCCCAGGGGGAAGTTACAACCCCTACCCGTTCCACAACGGCCGTGGTCTCACCTATCGGTGGATTTTGTCACGGACCTTCCCCCCTCCCAGGGGAACACTACGATCTTGGTCGTTGTGGATCGGTTTTCTAAAGCCTGCCGTCTCATTCCCCTGCCAGGTCTCCCTACTGCCCTACAAACTGCTGAGGCCCTGTTTACACATGTCTTCCGGCACTATGGGGTGCCTGAGGATATAGTGTCTGATCGGGGTCCCCAGTTCACCTCTAGAGTCTGGAGGGCGTTTATGGAACGTCTGGGGGTCTCGATTAGCCTTACCTCAGGTTTTCACCCCGAGAGTAATGGGCAGGTGGAGAGAGTGAACCAGGATGTGGGTAGGTTTCTGAGGTCGTATTGCCAGGACCGGCAAGAGGAGTGGTCGGGATATATTCCCTGGGCAGAGATAGCCCAAAACTCACTCCGCCATTCGTCCACTAACCTTACGCCTTTCCAGTGTGTGCTAGGTTATCAGCCGGCCCTGGCACCTTGGCATCAGAGCCAGACCGAAGCCCCTGCGGTGGACGAGTGGTTTCGGCGCTCTGAAGAAACTTGGAACGCTGCGCATGTCCATCGGCAGCGGGCTATCAGGCGGCAAAAGGCGAGCGCCGATCGCCACCGCAGTGAGGCTCCGGTGTATGCACCGGGAGATCGGGTCTGGCTCTCGACCCGAAACCTGCCCCTTCGCCTGCCCTGCCGGAAGCTGGGTCGGCGGTTTGTGGGGCCATTTAAAGTCCTGAGGAGACTGAACGAGGTATGCTATAGGTTACAACTGCCCATTAATTACCGCATTAACCCCTCGTTCCATGTGTCTCTCCTCAGGCCGGTGGTGGCTGGTCCACTCCAGGAGAGTGAGGTACGAGAGGCTCCTCCGCCCCCGTTGGACATCGAGGGGCTCCGGCGTACTCAGTCCGTTCCATCTTGGATTCGAGGCGTCGGACGGGGGGCCTGCAGTATCTCGTGGAGTGGGAGGGGTACGGTCTGGAGGAACGGTGCTGGGTCCCCAGGAGGGACATCCTAGATCCCTCCATGTTGAGGGACTTCCACCAGAGTCATCCGACTCGCCCTGCTCCGCGTCCTCCTGGCCGTCCCCGAGGCCGGGGTCGGCGCACGGCTGAAAGCCGCGCGTCAAGGGGGGGGGAATACTGTCACGGAATCAGCCGAGGCTGCTCCTCCTCCTTGCTCGGGCAGGGTTCGGCGTTCGTCGTCCCCGGAGTACAAGCTGCTACCGATCTATGTTTCTGTGTTTGACTTGTTTTGTCTTAATTGTGTACACCTGTTTCCTATTATGTTGTATTGTATTCCCTATATAACCCTCTGTTGTTCATTGTGTGTTGTGTGTGATTGTTCTCGTCATTTTCGGCAGTTGCTATTGTGCGGGTTTTATCCACCCTGTTTGGAGGTTGTTTTGTACTCTGGTTACTTTGTTAGTAAAAGTATGTTTCCAGTAGCTCGGTGTCCTGCGTTTGACTTCGCCTACCGCATTCACGTCGCACTTTGACAGTTATATTAAATAAAGTGCCTTATAATATAAAACACATGGAACTTGCTAAAGTCATACAGTGAGGGAAAAAAGTATTTGATCCCCTGCTGATTTAGTACATTTGCCCACTGACATAGAAATGATCAGTCTATAATTTTAATGGTAGGTTTATTTGAACAGTGAGAGACAGAATAACAACAACAAAAATCCAGAAAAACACATGTCAAAAATGTTATAAATTGATTTGCATTTTAATTAGGGAAATAAGTATTTGACCCCTTCTCAATCAGAAATATTTCTGTCTCCCATGTGTCTTTTATATAGGTAACGAGCTGAGATTAGGAGGACACTCTTAAAGGGAGAGCTCCTAATCTCAGCTTGTTACCTGTATAAAAGACACCTGTCCACAGAAGCAATCAATCAATCAGATTCCAAACTCTCCACCATGGCCAAGACCAAAGAGCTCTCCAAGGATGTCAGGGATAAGATTGTAGACCTACACAGGGCTGGAATGGGCTACAAGACCATTGCCATGCAGCTTGGTGAGAAGGTGACAACAGTTGGTGTGATTATTCGCAAATGGAAGAAACACAAAATAACTGTCAATCTCCCTCGGCCTGGGGCTCCATGCAAGATCTCACCTCTTGGAGTTGCAATGATCATGAGAACGGTGAGGAATCAGCCCAGAACTACACGGGAGGATCTTGTCAATGATCTCAAGGCAGCTGGGACCATAGTCACCAAGAAAACAATTGGTAACACTCTACGCCATGAAGGACTGAAATCCTGCAGCACCCGCAAGGTACCCCTGCTCAAGAAAGCACATATACAGGACCGTCTGAAGTTTGCCAATGAACATCTGAATGATTCAGAGGAGAACTGGGTGAAAGTGTTGTGGTCAGATGAGACCAAAATCGAGCTCTTTGGCATCAACTCAACTCGCCGTGTTTGGAGGAGGAGGAATGCTGCCTATGACCCCAAGAACACCATCCCCACCGTCAAACATGGAGGTGGAAACATTATGCTTTGGGGGTGTTTTTCCGCTAAGGGGACAGGACAACTTCACCGCATCAAAGGGACGATGGACGGGGCCATATACTGTCAAATCTTGGGTGAGAACCTCCTTCCCTCAGCCAGGGCATTGAAAATGGGTTGTGGATGGGTATTCCAGCATGACAATGACCCAAAACACACGGCCAAGGCAACAAAGGAGTGGCTCAAGAAGGAGCACATTAAGGTCCTGGAGTGGCCTAGCCAGTCTCCAGACCTTAATCCCATAGAAAATCTGTGTCAATCATTGGGGAATAGACTCTACAAAGTGTTGAATGCGTTCCACAGGGATTCCGGGCCATGTTGACTCAAATGCTCCCCCCAGTTGTGTCAAGTTGGCCGGATGTCCTTCAGGTGGTGGACCATTCTTGATACACACGGGAAACTGTTGAGCGTGAAAGACCCAGCAGCGTTGCAGTTCTTGACACAAACCGGTGCGCCTGGCACCTACTACCATACCCCGTTCAAAGGCACTTCAATATTTTGCCTTGCCAATTCACCCTCTGAATGGCACACACACACAATCCATGCCTCAAGGCTTAAAAATCATTTTTTAACCTGTCTCCTCCCCTTCATCTACACGGACATCAATAAGGGATCGTAGCTTCCACCTGGTTTCACTTGGTCAGTCTACCTCATGGAAAGAGCAAGTGTTGATAATGTTTTGTACACTCAGTGTATATTGCATTATAAATAGTAATTAAGTATATATTGCTACAAATCTCGATCTTCATAAAAGTATTAAGTAGGCCAGTTAATTAAATTAACATGACATTGGGTAAATTATCTGACATTCTTGTCAATTTCATGGACTGTCCTTGCATCCATAGCTTGAAGTGTGATTATTTGCCAGGCCCCATCCAACCCTCAGTTTACCAAACAAAGTAACAGGGTCAGACTGTTGAAATTACCGATTGTGCCTTGCTTCCAAATGAAAGATTATATTGATTAGCCTATGCAAATCATTTCCTGTCTCAAAAGTGGGCGGGTATTTCTGACGTAGAGAACCTGCGACAGCTCAAACTGACTTCCTGTATTGAGGAAGAGACTGCTAGATAGCGTTCCCGTATTTTACATAAATTACACTGAGGTACGTCTGGAATTAATTATTTTTTATAACAAATAATTCGCTACTCATAAACATTCATAACCGATCAAAGTACCTGTTGCTATTTACAGTTTAAAATTGAAGAGGAGAGTAGATTTTAGCGTTAGTATTTCTGACGTAGAGAACGAGCGACAGCTCGAGCTGACATTCTGCATTGAGGAAGAGACTGCTAGATAGCGTTCCCGTATTTTACATAAATTACACTGAGGTATGTCTGAAATTAATTATTTTTTTATAGCATATAATTCGCTACTCATAAACATTCATAACCGTTCGACGTACCTGTTACTATTTACACTTTAAAATGGGAAGAGGAGAGTAGACGATAGCATTAGTTAGCTAACGTTAGCCTAGCTGGCAAGGATGGAATCAACAAAGAAGAGTACTAACTAACGAGCTAAATTAACGTTTGCTAGCTACTACTGTAGCGAACATCACCTAGTCAATCAATCACTTCCGTGTTGTGTTGTTAGAACACGTTTGCGGATCTAGTTAGCTAGCAAACTAGCTAATATTAGCGAATCGAATTTGATTGAGAAAACATGTCCATTCACTGTATTTCAAATACAAACACATTGCTAGTTAGCGATGTTGATAGTTTAGCACGCTAACTTTAGCGTCTTGTTTCTGACTGCGTTGTGTACCTGAAGTGCCAGCCCACTTTGCAGTGTGTTTAGCTAACTGTAGCCCGCCTCTCTTTGCTACGAAGCCTAACTATCGAAGTGGTTTGTAAATGATAGGTTACGTCACTTTGAGGGAAGGTCAGCAGTACCAGAGTAGTACTAGCTAGCCACTAATTAGCGTGTGTTCAAACGACTTCTGATGGCTGTATGATTTATGAGTCCAAGGCATTCATCATTATCCTGTGTTTTAAAGCTTTCAGACTGGTCCAAGTTGCTGTGCTGATTGTCTTGAACTGAACATGTAACGTTACTTCTACTACTCCTGCTCCACAAAGATTCTAGATTTTTCCAAATTAAAGCATTAGAAGAGAATGGACAAAAATGTGGATTGGGACTAGGATTAGGATATGGATTCTAGATTTTTGGGGGGTAAATTAAAGCATTAGAAGAGGATGGATTTGGATTGGGACTAGGATTAGGATACGGATCACCTCCACCTTTGTTCTTGGAATGGATCAGTGAGTTTGAAGCCTGCAGGTGCCTTCGGTTTATTTTAGCAGGGCCTATCCAATACCAACAATGACTGATGGAAGGATCTACGTGGGAAATCTTCCAATGGATGTCCAGGAGAGGGACATAGAGGATCTCTTCTTCAAATATGGAAAAATTCGGGATGTCGAACTAAAGAATAACAGGGGAACCATCCCTTTTGCTTTTGTTCGCTTCGAAGATCCACGGTGAGTTCCTGGGATGAGTGTACACGTCCAATCACAATACCTGGCTGTTTGGCTAGCTGTTCTCCTCTGATTTAGTAACATCGCCTGGGACTGACCTCAGTGAACGGATGGAGAAGGCGTTGCCAAGTGTATATCCCTTAGGCAAGTAAGTAAGGAGTTCTGTGCTCTCTTCTCTTAGGGATGCAGAAGATGCTGTCTATGGAAGGAATGGATATGGATTCGGAGACTCCAAGCTGCGTGTAGAATACCCTCGCTCCTCTGGCGCCAAATTTAGTGGCCCTATGGGAGGCGGAGAAAGAGGAGGAGAAGGAGGGGGTCCTAGGGGGAGGTTTGGGCCCCCAACTCGGCGATCTGAGTTCCGGGTGATAGTGACTGGTAGGTGGACGTTCTGAGTCGTAGGCAGTGTTGTTTTTGTTTCTCTCTCTCTCTCTTGGCGGACTGGAGGTCAACGGGACTAAGTGGAGGTCAAGTCAGCTGCCCAAATCAAACAGGAACAAAACAGTAAAAACTCTAACTGATCATGTTGACTGCATATACCCAAACACCGGCCATAGTGACTGGTAGGTGTATGTTTTATCATTCATTTTTGTTTTACCCATTGTTTGGGGGTATTTCTCTATTGTATCTGTGTTGTATGTCCTCTAATATAGCTAGACGTTCCTATTTCTTAGCTTTCAATCTGGCAGTCAGATCATGCGTCACTTTTCTTTCAAATCAAAGGAAAATATTAGTCGAGACTGACAGTATTTACATACTTATAGTATCCCTCAGCTTTGCATGAAATTTAGACACGTGAATTGGGGATATGCCACTTGAAACAGGTCTATTGTAAACTGTAGATGAAAAGGCATAGTTGATGGTATGAAAAGAATCACTCTTCCACTCCAATAAGCATTATGCAGAGTTGGCAGCTTCTGGTAAAATGACAATGTGCTGTCTCCTCTCCCAGGCTTGCCCCCAACAGGGAGCTGGCAGGATCTGAAAGACCACATGCGTGAGGCAGGGGATGTGTGTTTCGCTGACGTGCAGCGGGATGGTGAAGGGGTGGTGGAGTTTGTCCGTCGGGAGGACATGGAATATGCCCTGCGCAGACTGGACAGGACTGAGTTCCGTTCCCATCAGGTGAGTACACCTCTCCACAGCAAAACATGTCAAATATGAGTGCATTTGCGAGTTACAAGCTTATTCAAGCTCATGACGGAAGATGGTCTCCTCAGACATTTGCTCTGTATTTGCTCTGTATGTCCCTCAGGGAGAGATGGCGAATATTCGTGTCCACGGAGAACGGGGTGCCAGTTATGGTCGCTCGCGGTCCCGCTCCAGATCCCCCCGGGGGCGTGGCTACTCACCACCTCCTTACAAAAGCAGAGGGTCCCCTCCACAGCGCTACCAGTCACCTCCACGGCGCCCTGTGTCCCGCCATAGCCCCCCAGCGAGGCGACATCCAGTAACGAACCACAGCCCGCCCCCACGGCACTATCGGTAGACCAGCCAGCCATTCACAAGAGGGCACTGATGATTAGGGGCAGTTTAATTATGTTTTGTTTATCACAGATATCCTCCCTGATACACACAAATAATTGTCCCCCTTTTGCTTGCTATGTGCATTCCATGGTCAGTCACCCCTGCCTTCTTGTTGGCCTTAATATGGTTGATTTATTTTCCTGTTGATTTGATGTAAGCATCAGTTCCCTGTGTCAGCTCACTGTAGTCCGCTCAGTTCTGATGTCTGGTGAGACCATTTGTTAACTTGTCAATTTACTAGGTCATGTATGAACATGATCCATTTGTGATGAACATTGCCCTGAGAATAGTGTGACACTCAACAAAAACTAAATGTGAACATCTGCCTGCATTGTCTATTTTTAAATGAATTGTAAGTGTGAACCTCCTAAGTGTCTGAATACATTTGGAAATTGTTTGATTGTAATCTGCTGGTAAACCTGAAATCCTTAAATTTGTTTTATTTTAAATAAATGTTGAACTTTTTAATCAGTTCATTCCTTTACTTCCCCTCACAATGTTTTGGTAACCTGTGGTGGCTGTATGCAAGATCACTTAGTTTTTCAATTAAAGCACTGAAACAAACCAAACACCTGCACTCACTCAATGGGTTGTCACATTGCAGATTGGGGGGTGTCCACCCGCAGAGCTGAAAATATGAATTGGTAGTAATGTAACATGATTATTCTATTTATTGCTTTGTCAATGTATATGTCAATCACAACATTACATCACACTCAACTAAATAAATGCCAGTAAAAAAAAAAACACGGGGTGAAGAGAGACTCACAAAAATTATAATCTTGCACAGTGTAAACCAAATGAATGTCATTGTATGATGTTGATGACCTTTCTCTTCAAGCCTAATGCATCCACATTGATGCCATCTTCAGTTGTCTTGTGAGGGACATTAAGCCAGGGCCCTCTAATAGACATCGACAATTCCTGAAATGAAAAGAATTCACACAAAAAATCCCTTTGCAAAGCATCATAGTCCTTTACAATGATTATCTAATGTGACCACCACATTACATGCATCTTGTGACCATGGATGTTTATTGGTCTGACCCAAATGTCTGGATTTATAGGTTCCTCTTGTAATCAATGCCCAACATACAAAGTCCAATCCCAATTGTCATTCAGCACTTTGGATCCTTCATATGAATGCTCATTAGTCTCCACACTAGAGGGACAGCGACCTCAAACAAAACCCAATCCAAGCTAAATTGGTGGAAACCCTGTGCATGTTCCATTGCATGCCCAGTAAGCAATGCCAGTGAGTCACAAGGCAATGTTGTTGGGGAGATCCTCCATCTCCTCATCTGTCAGCTTTCTCTTTATTTGGGCCCATGAATTCTACGCCATCAATGGGAATGTCCTTTTCTTTTATGGCCTTCTGCAAATCCAAGCACAACATATGTAGCTGTATCATTAGACACTTGCATCTGACATTTAAAAAGACAATGGATTGAGAGGATAGGCCTATTTCATGAAATGAGGATATTTATTTCCAATAAATAAAATGATGCCCTTTAGTCAAAGATTGTTACAACAAACTACGTTTCCCCTTTTATCTGTGTTTCAGTCCTTTGAAGAATATACTTCTGGAGCCTGACAAGCTAACAGTACGTCGTACAGCAGTTATCAATGCGTGGTGTAGATGAGCAAACAGCAGGCAGATAGCTAGCTAACAACATACGTCCGTGTTTGATATAATGTATTTACCTGGACACAATGCTGATATTTCTTGAACATTTCAGTACAGGGATCACCGCTTCGATCTCCCTTCAAGAATTTCTCAGCAAACCAACGGTTAAAGCACTGGTCATATTCCCGTTTTAGGTCAGTGCAGCCCTCTCCAACACTATTCATCTTCAATGCAGAATAACCATAGACCGTATGAGGATAAAAAATACTGAAAGAATAAAGATAACGATCAATTATTGAATTTATTGCAACCAAACTTATCTTCCGTACAGTTCTCTTGACTTTCCTTGAACCATGTGATCTGATTGGCCAAACAGCATGGCGTATGTTCACGACGTAGTTAAACAAGCGACACATTGTTAAAGCGAAAGAACACTTTGGCTACAGGCACAAAATGTGATAACATGGCTTCACGAAAGACAGCACAGAGTGAGATGCAATGAATTAAACCAAACTTTGCACAATGCTGAATCCAAAATATACTGATTGTTTAATACACAGCAAAGTAATAACAACAATAAACAATTCAAGAATACATTGAAAAAATAAGAATATTTTTCTCATATGTTTGTCGGTATATTTATCTATTGTCGTCAAGCGACAAATCACATGTACAGTGGCCTACGTGTGTGTACATATCTGATATTAAACAGTATAGCTACATTGTTATAATCACAGATACCTTTGAATATTAGCCTATGTGTGTTACAAATAATTGTACAGTTACAATTACAGTACAACAGCAATACACACAGACATTTAGCCGATAAAGAGAAGATAATGAAGAGACAGATTTAAGCACTTAATACAAAAACATTGGAATACATGGGGGACCATATGTTTGAGATACACCCAGGGGTTTCAGCAAGTGTTCCTGCGATGTTGGAGGGGTGCAGGCTTTTTGGTTGCACCTTTACTCTGTGAATGGTTCTAACTGATGGGAAGTTTATGACGGCAATGTACGAACAAGATCTCATTTGGTTATCATATTGAGAATATCCCTGCACAAAATAGCTAAATTTAAGGCAAAACAAATACAAAAACATTCTGAAGCAATATGCAAAGAGTTTTTGTTTTTAAAAGGGTACATTCACTAAGTGAACAATTACATGTATTCATAAACATATTGATTATAATGTTAATTACCTGAACATAGGAAAGTGCTTTTAGAGACTGAGACAGAAATACTGCATTGTGCAATTATTGTAGTGTGACAATTGTTTCAGTATGGGTCACCTGATGATTTCAAGAATAAACATAATGATTGAGAAGCGTGATTTTAAAATACTGACTACTCTGTCTGCATTTGTCAATTGTTGGTTTAGCTTTCATACAAATACAAGTTACTATTTTCAGAATACATTAATTTTATGTGACTTTCTCACAATTTTCACAATTTTGCACACTGAGTGAAAGGGAGAGGAACAGACACATGCTGGATCACTTGTTTTCTATGAGTGTTTGTACTTTGAGGACCAAGTCTCGAGCCATCGTTAGGACCTGCGGGACGTTGTGATGCTCAGCCATTTCTGAAGAGGGAAATCAAATCAAACACACTGTGTCACTCGAGCCTAGCTGCTTGTGCTGATTTACATATGATTGCAGTCTATGGAGGTAGCTAGGCTTTTTGCCTTTGTCAGCAAGCACAGTAAAGGCAGTTGGTACCTTCAGATCATACATTTAGCAAGCAAACACTCAGTGGCAATGAAATGAATTAACTGAATTATCAAATATTCCATTCCATAACAACATCTAACGTCATCCTTTAGACTCACCGTTGAAGAACTTGATGATGTCAGTGAAGTCCATGTTGTTCTCCAGGATGATGTCTCGGTACATTTCCACCAGTGCCAGAGCGATGAAGAGGACAAAATGAGTGGAGGAGGTATACATGGCCGCCCAGATGGTCTCCCACACGGAGAACACATCATCATACAACATCTCTGGAGGAATAATGGCACATCAGGTTATACACTGAGTAGGACTGTCAGATGTGACCTACCTGCAGAACAGTCATGTTACTGAAATAAAAACATCAGAAAATACTAGCAATGACATTTTCCTAAATCTATACAGGTCCTTCATATTGTATACCTAGAACACGATTCATTTAAGTTTAAACATCATCAGCATTAACTATTTCCTCTGGTTCTAATGTGAAATCCCCCTTTCTGTTTGATTCCATCACCATACAGATAGTATAGGTGATCTAACACACCCATGCAAATGCCAGTACCTCTTTTGAAGTCTAGTAGGAACCAGCGGTAGCAGAAGTAGAAGTGAGTGTAGTCTCCATTCATCTGCATCAGTTCAAAGAGCTCCGAATCAAGGATCTAGCGGAAAAAAAGGGCAAGTGCCTATCTTTTACTACAATGTAATATCACTGTACTTATAATAATGTGCATGTGTGATTGTGTATGTACATTCGTGTGTGCATGCGCGTGTATGGTACCTGGATGAGGGAGCGCATGTTGGCAAAGTGTGAGTCCATGGACCCTCCATGGGGGAAGTTCTGATTCATCCTCTTCATTAACTCAGAGAAGCAGCTAAAAGCCATGACCTCTGAGAAACACATCAACAGCAAATGATTCATCTTATCTTACTCACGTCTGTGAATAATGCAGTTATAAGAGAGCTATTTTTCATGCAGACTGACCGTCATCCAGAATGACCAGTAAAGGAGCCAGTAGATCACACATGCCCTGGACATAGCCAATCTCCAGATGCTGCCACACATAACTGCACATTATGTTGCGTAGTTTCTCCAGGTTAGCAGGGGTGAAGTACCAGTAGGTTCTGTCACAGCGTCTCACATCCTTATCAATGCGATGCAGGTTGAGCAAGTACAAGTCCAGCTGCTCTTGCTGAACACAGTGACGAAAGGGACTAAGGTTAGTTAAAGTGGTTCATGTTCAAATGGCTACCGTTTCATGATTCATTCCAGCATTGTGACAGCTCTGTAGGTAGTTGGGTACTGTATGTTGAACCAACCCTTACCCAAGTAACCCTAAAATCTGCAACATGCATTACAGTGCACACAGGTAACTCATTTGGAGTACTTACAGAGTAGGAAGTCCCTGCAGGGGACACTACCACTGGTGAGACCTCAGGTTTGAGTTCCTCTGTCACAACCAAAGAGTCAGACTGGGGGTAGAGACTCTCCATCTCAGGCTCCTCCTCAGACAGCGCTGGCTCAGTTCCATCGAGACTGGTGTTGGAGCTTGCATCCAGGACAGGTTCCCCTGAGACAACTCTCCTCAAGGCCAAGAAGGGGGCAGCTGGGGGAGCCATCAGGCCGGACAAGGGTCTTGCCCAGGCAGTGGGAATGTCCTCCATCTCTAAGGCGGATGGCGAGTCATCAGAATCTAGTGTATCAGGAGAACGCATAGAGTGGGCTGTAACTGTAACACTGGCCCTGGCCTCTGGCTGAGGTGGCTTCAGTACAGGCATGGAAAGTGCATGTTTCTCTGAATCTATGGCTACTGTCATTTCTGCAGCTTTAGTATTGTTTTTCTCAGGGACACTGGCCTCCACAGTGTCTAATGTTTTGATTTCAGCTATTTCTGAAACCTTTTCTTCAGTACTATACATGTCTTTCTCACAAACACAAGCTTCGCTGGTTTGAGGGGTTTTCATCTTTTGCAATTCAGATTCTGTGATTTCTTCAATGTCAGAGAAGTTTGGGTCCTCTTTTTCAGCAATACCAGCCTCCACTGCCATTGTTGAATCTTCATTTCCTTCTGTTAAATATGGCTCTGTGGCACAGAATGGTCCTGTCCATGGGGCCTTGCGCTCTTGTGTTTTAGTAACTGTGGCCTCACCTAGTGGTGGAGCTGGAATATATACATTAGAAACCTCCGTTTCTAGTTTGAGAATATCAGTATTCTCAGTTGCGTACGCAGCTCTCACAGGGAGCTTTGCGTCTTCTGTGGTGGAAACTTCAGACAACCCATTTCCTGCAACTTTGTTTTCTTCGGTTTCAGTATTTCCTAAGGACTTCACGTCTTCTTTGTCAGAATCCCTTTCTTTAACCCACTCTGGTATTTTTATGATTTCTACCGATTCAGAGCATTCAACCCCTTCACTCTCTGGGGCTTTGGATTCCTGTGTTGGAGCCTTAGGACGCTCCTCTCCTGCCTTGTCATCAACTGTTATCGTGACCTTTGGTTCCTCTGTTGATCTCGAGACAGGGAGATCCTCTGTTAGCGTTGACACAGCCTGGGCCTCTGCCACTGGCCTAGACGCAGCTCCCTGGGGCTCTGGTGATGGCTGAGTGGCTACTGTTTTGACAGTTAAATTTGTTGCAGGGCTGTTGTTGTCTGTGCTTTGTGGCTGTTCTAGAAGACCTGAGCCAACAGAGATGTTTTTGGGTGGGTCGCCAGATTCTGAGGTAACATTTGGGTTGGCCACATCTGGGCGGACTTTCAATGGGATTTTGGACACCTCTTTGCCTTCCTCTGACTTCGTCTCAGATTCTATCTGATCCACCTCCTCCACAGACCCAAATGCCTGCAACACCGGACAACAGACAGTGAATACCAAGCATTATAAAGTGTCCCTACTATTGGAAGGCACAACTTCTCAAGTATTCAGTATTAAGGATAATTGTATTATGGTATGTGGTGATGTGTTATGCCCCAGAAAGGAAAACATCCTGTACCTGTGTGCTACTGCTGGAGTCACTCTGGGCAATCTGTTTCTCTGAACTGGTGCTCTGTGAGGACTGGTGTAGGATAAGTGGTCAAATGCCAACCAGGAAGAGAACACCATGAATAAACATATGTTAGTACAGTATGTTAACCATATGCCAATGAGTCAGAAACTCTATCATGTATTGCCCTCATCAAATGTGACAGGTAGGACCCCCTTACATCAGTGCTGATGGTGGAGTCTCGTTGCACTGATCCTGGTCTGTCCACACTGGCCACAGAGTTGCACTTGGCTATGGCTTCAGCATGCTTCTCCCCCTCCCTCTGCTTGACGATGGCCTCACAGCCCAGCCACTCCTTCATAGTCTGCTCATAGCAGGCCCGAACCTGCTCATCCACCTATACACACAGATGAACACACAGGGTCACTAGTGTGTAATGGTATTACACATGACCCACCTCCCTACTTGGATTCCAGAGATAGTAGTTATACCTCATGACAATATAACAGTACTCACCTCCATCCTACGTTTCTCGGTCATATCGAATTGGTAGTGTCCCAGCAGGAATGGCCAGACCTCCTTGCGTATTGTAGGGGCCACTCCACCATAGTACACCAGCCGCAGAAGCTCATGCTCATCATACGCCTGAGAAAAGGTTGTGTACGTGATTCCATACTGACTCAATACAGAAACCCACCAGTTCAGTACTGTCATCGGTTGCAGTGGGATGTTGATGTTGATGAATGCAGATACATTCACGCTGTGACCTGTTAGCTAAGCTATAAAGAACATACACAGTCACTGCAGGTTGTGGTTGTGTGTATAGTATGTTTAGAGCAGATGGTACAGTAGATCTTACAGAGTAGTCCTGGAGGAAGCTGCTCCAGACATCCACAGTGAGCCCTCCACGGGCATCATGAGGCACGTTAGGGTCAATGATGGTGGGGTTGACCAGGCCAGAGAGGTGGATACGAACGGTGGACAGGTGACGGCAGTAGGCAAGCCCTTCAATAAAGAAGTGAAGAAACGTGCATGGTTATCAATCCAGCCATAACATGAAGACTATAGCATTTGAATCAGTCTTTCCTAAAGGAATGAATGATACATGTACTCACAGCCATAGAAAGCACGGGAAATGATCTGGTACTTCATGGTGTCACAGAGGAGTTTCAGGGGAGCCCTGTCCTGGTTGCAGCCGTTGGGTAGTGAGCTATCAGGGGATCCGTTCTGAGAGCAGGAGAAACAGGAGGACTTCCTGGGGGTGGGGTGCCACATGTTCACCGCCTGGTCCATCAGCTCTGGAGCCACTGGACACCAAACAGGATCAATGTTATCATCAGCATGAACATCGTCGTCATTGTCATTAGCAACAGCTACATGATCATCTAGAACTGATGGAGGATTTGGGTGACCTTCTTTAATACTATATAAGTATTTTTTTAAACATGGAACCATTGACAAACCAAGCCAGAAGATGGAGGTGTGACAAAGACAACTTGATGCCCATGCATGGTCTCAAATCCAGGGTAACCAATGTAAGTTGTTCACAGGTTCACAGGGCTACAGGTACAGGCAGAGACACAGGGGCTGGACAGAGAGGGGCTGAGGGAAGGACAATGGTCAACAAAATGAACAGTGAGAGAAACATAAATAATGAAAAAGTATATTATGTACAAATTTAAACAGAAAATTGATACACAATAAAGAGATCACAAGTGACATACCAAAGTCTGACGGAGTACCAGGGAGCAGGATCCGAAAGACATAATCAGTGGCCTCGTCCTCCTCTTTATCCGACACAGACTCCACAGACCCCTGCGGACTCCTCTTCCGCAACTTAGGGAAAACCTTTCCCTGTAGGCAAAAGAAAGTACTGCACTCAGTATAAGACATAACATGTTGTTATGATGATGATTCACGAGAGTGATTAAAGTTTATTTTATCTCACCCTAAAACTCAGATCCCCATCATTGAATTGTGATGCAAGACTAGGCTAGATGTAATTAATGATCCAGCCAAAGAAGGCCAATCTCAAATCAATAACATCTTATTCAATTGTTTTATATTTCAGTAATGTATTCTTATTTAGTAAGTAACTCTTATTCAGAATGACTTACAATAAGTGCACTTATCTTAAGATAGCTAGGTGAGACAACAACATATCACAATCGTAACAAGTAAATAATTTTCCCTCAATAAAGTAGTTAACAGCAAAGTCAGTGCTAGTAGGAAAAAACAAGTGCATTGTTTATGTATTTTTTTGTATCCTTTTTCTTGGGCCTTGTCCTTTCCTTCATGTTGCCCAGAGGACGTATTAAGACCCCACTCACACCTAGACTCTCTGTGCCACTCCAACTTTTATAGTCTTTCACTGCCCCGCCGGGTAATATACCACAACCTTTACAAAGCTATCTTCTACTGCAGCCTGTAAATTATAGTCTCAGCTCTACTATGATTACCACTTTTATCATCACAACCCCTCTAAAAACTTCCTCATGTTGTTCCCTTTGCTTTGGCAGGTCAGGGTTAATATTATCTACTTGGAGGCTAAATTGGTGGATAAGATCAATGAAATTACACAGTGGCAGTGTAAAAGTATCCCTCTGGCAGCAGTGTACTAACACAGAGATCAGAGTTACCCTCAGTCAAACCACATCCACTCTGCTATTGTCACGTCTCCTCCCGGTGCTCCCCTCCGGCGCTCTGATTCGCCGGTCTACTGAGCCACCGGTCTGAGCGCACCACCTCGGCAACACCGGAATGGAAACCCAACGCACCCTAATCACCTCCAGCGCACCTGCACCTCATCATCTCATCACCGCCCCTATTTAGCCCTGGACTGTTCTGGATGATGTTGTGTGTGATTGTTTAGCTTCGTGTCGTTCTACTCCATCTTTGTTATTTGTCATTGTTAAGTAAACCTTGACCTTGTTAATTCCTGTGTCTGTGTCCTGCCTCTTCGTATACTCAGTACTCGTCACAGCTATAGATTAGCCTATTTCTAATATTACAAGAAACAACTAGCTAAATCATACCATCACGCTTCAATTGGTTTAGTGGATGTGGACATAATAGCTACAGTAAACATTCATTGAGATCTGAATCATTGTCATGGGGCATTTTAGGCCATTTCTATGTTCCATGCCGACCTTTCCCCTCTGGGACCACAGAGGGGGGTCGAGTTGTCCGTGTGGCAGCAGGCCTGTCTCCAGGCAGGTCAGGAACTGGAGCAGGTGTCCTCCCCGGGGGAACCGCAGTGGAGGCCTCTGGATCCCATCCTGACTCACCAGAACCACTGTCCCACCACTGTCCACTGGGAAAAAACGTTATCACAAGTTCAAGAACACAAACACATAGATACAAAGCTATAGGCCTACATAATTAAAAGAGGTTCCTCCTGTACCTTGCTGATGGCAGTGCAGATAAACAATCTCCTCCAGGCGAATAGTCATGGCAAAGTCCCAGTAAACACTGTGGGACAATCAATATGTGATTGCTGAGATTTAAACAATATCCAATTATATAAATTGGCATGTTCTTCATAGACACCTATGAGTGTCAGAATAGGTTTCTTTACTGTGATTTGATATTACATTACCTTTTTTCAGTGTCATCTGCCACAGTGCCATTCATGAGCTGGTTGGGGGTCCATTTCAGGGTCATGAGATCTGCAGTCTGGTGGAGAGACAGGTACCCTGGGATAGCCTCCATGTCATCCCTCTGTTGACCAAGACAGGAGATTTGTACAAAGCATTCCTTGCTGTTTAAACAGTGATGAAAAGCAATGCCAAGTCCTTTAACACGCAGAAAGAGAGAGAGAGAGAGAGAGAGAGAGAGCGAGACACACACACACACACCGGCTGCACCAAGACGTTGTTCTTGCCAAACAGCAGTGTAGCCTTGTTGTTCTGATGGAGGGACTCAACGTAGTCCCGAGCCCACAGGATGGGCCGATCTTCCATACTGCCACTCGACTGCCTCTTCTGGATCTATTCGAAAATATAATTGTATTCGAGACCATTGGGAAAAATGTATACATCATATATAACACACACATCATTCATTTAAACACATCACCCACATACTGACCAGGGCAGGTCGCCTGGAAGGGGAGTCCTGGCGACAGTGGCTACTGTGGATACGGTGTCTCTGGACTAGCTCATCAGCAGAGGGGTCTGTCCAGAAGTGGTCGGCTGTCTTCACCTTAGTGTACTCCAGAGCACATGGGCCAACTGCAAGGGATAAGGGCAAGACAACACTGAGATCCACAACACTTTCATTTTGTAAGGTGTAGTCACCTCTAAAGCACTGTACTGAACCATCATCATCCAGAGTGAAAGAGGTACCAGCAATGTCAATGTTACCCTCACAGTAAGAGGTAAATGCACTTGTATATTTATCTTCTAAACCACAGAATTATGGCCTTATCTGAAATAAGGCAATTTCCACCGTAAAGCACTAGTCTCCTGTGTAATGTTTTATCTACAGATTATCTGAGGGAGTCACATTCACTGTAATGTGCCATTCAGTGTGCTATTTCTTATCTTATCAGAGATCTGTCCGGCCACATCCTGACAAGAAGAGGTTCCATCAATACCTAACAGAGAGGCAAGGATTGGTCCATCCACAGGATCCATTAGAATGGCCTCACTGTCATAGAACGTACTGGAAGAGAAAAAATCATGTTTACTCAAAAAAGAAGAACCATTGCTGCGTGTTCACTGAAAAGTGACTATAAGTATAGATGTCAGATCTTAATTTGACCCATTTCATTGCAGCAGGAAAATAATCTTGCAGCAGGAGGATTTGAATATCTGAAGAAATATTTAGAATCGCCGCCAGGGGGCAGCTGGAAGTGGTGTTTGTATACAATGCAGTACCGTACCTACATTGTACCTTAGACTGGAGGTCCACTGGGCGCCAGTTCAAGTAGCCTATGTAGACTAAGTGCAGGCTACAGCGCATCTCGTGTAAATTATTCTGTGGATTATAATAAATTGACATATTTGATATATTTTTTGTTAGGTAAAATTTTTTTTTTAGATCAACTGTTTTATTATATGTTGAAGGCAAGTCATAGGCAGAATCAATTATTGGTGGCCTCAGTGCCTGTGATGACGTGGACGAAAGGCAGCCTCCCCCGCACCTCTCTGATTCAGAGGGGTTGAGTTAAATGTGGAAGACACATTTTAGTTGAATGCATTCAGTTATACAACTGACCAGGTATCCCCTTTACCTTCCCTTTCCATATGCCAGAGTCGGCATGGGTTCTAATCTGGCCCAATGTCCTTTGACTCACCCTCCCACTATCCTCCCCATCTTTATAACACTATTCTATCTCTTCAAATTTACAAAAGGCGTGGGACTGCCCCACTCCTTCAAAAATACCTTTAAGAAACAATAAATCATTGGACAAATAATAATTTGATTGTGAGTGCACGTCCAACATAAAACATGATTATAAATAATACACGGTATGCTAAATTGATTCATAGAATATGCACAGACCTAGCAAGCAACAACAGATGCTATGCTAACTGATTCCACCATTGAAAGAGAAAATAAACTCTATATGCTGAGATTTTGAGGAGGAAATTAAAAACTTCAGAGGACTTTTAAGCCTTGAATACATTGCAAGTTTGCCTTTGGAGTTCCACCATCGGATAGTACACTTTTTTTATTAATTTAGATAGCCAATAGCTTAAATTAGGCCCACAAGTTAATTGAATTATTTTCAATGTTTTCAAGAAGTAAAACAAATAGTCTGATAATTTACACATCAAAAGAAAAGTGTCTCAGCTCAACGAAATCGTCTTTGGATAAGCTCAAATTCATAAACATCTTGACAGCTTTACGAAATAAAATGTTAAAGCCACACAATACAGGCTTTCAATCCACAACAAGGATGACTTCAAATGCCGGCATCAAACTGAAAGTACAGTTGGCATATGCTACTGTAGATGACGCATAACAGCTTAGCAATGACAATCTCACCTACTGTAAGGGCCATCCACACCAAAGACCATAACTATATTGACAAATTATACATAGCCTAACTATAAAACGTGGGCGAGCATGCACATTGGAGGAAAGTTTATCATTCTACAGTAGGCCTACATCTGTCAATCAACTGATGGCCCAAATCAGCTCATCAACTCAGACAGGGAAACACAGTAGCCTATTATCCGTTTTCACACCTTTCATTATGTGACAATGGATAGGCTAACGGGTAGCCTACAGAACGTATTGGAAAATAATCAAATAACAAGAGGCCTATTGCAACCATCGATGGCACTAGATTATCACCAGCTGATCTCTCATTAAACCATCAATATGCTCTAAATTCACCCGCACTGCTGATCTCAATTGCAACCATTATTGGTCACCTCATTACCGCTCCCTGAAAGATGATGTCAGTGTTACCTTAGTCCTGGTTTCTACCAAAGTCTTTCAAGATATGTTCACCCTCTGGTTGGTATTATCATCGGAACTTAGTCCTTTTTGAACATACTAAGGGAGCTGTATCTATTTGACAAGCATTCCGTACAATAGAAATAAAGTATTTCCTTGTTTACCACAGCAAATCTACTGTGGCAAATTATCCAACACTTTGTATGAATGGAAACTAATGTTGGTGTAGCCTGTTATTATTTTATTCATTTCCCATTAAATACAACTGTCTTTATAATAAAAGTGTCTGGTAAGGTCATTTCTTATCAAGATCGGGGGTAGAATATCCCTGGACTGTCCATATTTGAAATGTGTAACTAAGTCAAGTCAATCGGGGTGATTTAGTTATTTGTTCCATAAGGGCATGGGCCAGAATCAAACCCACACCGACACGGTACTGTAGACCTATGTGTGCGCCTATGTGTGGGCCCTAACTATCAGACCACCACAGGCCACGATTGAAATACATTTTTACAGTTGATTCGTAACCTAGAAACCTTAAGATGTCATATATATATACAGTGGGGAAAAAAAGTATTTAGTCAGCCACCAATTGTGCATGTTCTCCCACTTAAAAAGATGAGAGAGGCCTGTAATTTTCATCATAGGTACACGTCAACTATGACAGACAAATTGAGGAAAAAAACCCCAGAAAATCACATTGTAGGATTTTTTATGAATTTATTTGCAAATTATGGTGGAAAATAAGTATTTGGTCACCTACAAACAAGCAAGATTTCTGGCTCTCACAGACCTGTAACTTCTTCTTTAAGAGGCTCCTCTGTCCTCCACTCGTTACCTGTATTAATGGCACCTGTTTGAACTTGTTATCAGTATAAAACACACCTGTCCACAACCTCAAACAGTCACACGCCAAACTCCACTATGGCCAAGACCAAAGAGCTGTCAAAGGACACCAGAAACAAAATTGTAGACCTGCACCAGGCTGGGAAGACTGAATCTGCAATAGGTAAGCAGCTTGGTTTGAAGAAATCAACTGTGGGAGCAATTATTAGGAAATGGAAGATATACAAGACCACCGATAATCTCCCTCGATCTGGGGCTCCACGCAAGATCTCACCCCGTGGGGTCAAAATTATCACAAGAACGGTGAGCAAAAATCCCAGAACCACACGGGGGGACCTAGTGAATGACCTGCAGAGAGCTGGGACCAAAGTAACAAAGCCTACCATCAGTAACACACTACGCCGCCAGGGACTCAAATCCTGCAGTGCCAGACGTGTCCCCCTGCTTAAGCCAGTACATGTCCAGGCCCGTCTGAAGTTTGCTAGAGTGCATTTGGATGATCCAGAAGAGGATTGGGAGAATGTCATATGGTCAGATGAAACCAAAATAGAACTTTTTGGTAAAAACTCAATTTACCGTGTTTGGAGGACAAAGAATGCTGAGTTGCATCCAAAGAACACCATACCTACTGTGAAGCATGGGGGTGGAAACATCATGCTTTGGGGCTGTTTTTCTGCAAAGGGACCAGGACGAGTGATCCGTGTAAAGGAAAGAATGAATGGGGCCATGTATCGTGAGATTTTGAGTGAAAACCTCCTTCCATCAGCAAGGGCATTGAAGATGGAACGTGGCTGGGTCTTTCAGCATGACAATGATCCCAAACACACCGCCCGGACAACGAAGGAGTGGCTTCGTAAGAAGCATTTCAAGGTCCTGGAGTGGCCTAGCCAGTCTCCAGATCTCAACCCCATAGAAAATCTTTGGAGGGAGTTGAAAGTCCGTGTTGCCCAGCGACAGCCCCAAAACATCACTGCTCTAGAGGAGATCTACATGGAGGAATGGGCAAAAATACCAGCAACAGTGTGTGAAAACCTTGTGAAGACTTACAGAAAATGTTTGACCTGTGTCATTGCCAACAAAGGGTATATAACAAAGTATTGAGAAACTTTTGTTATTGACCAAATACTTATTTTCCACCATAATTTGCAAATAAATTCATTAAAAATCCTACAATGTGATTTTCTGATTTTTTTTCCTCATTTTGTCTGTCATAGTTGACGTGTACTTATGATGAAAATTACAGGCCTCTCTCATTTTTTTAAGTGGGAGAACTTGCACAATTGGTGGCTGACTAAATACTTTTTTCCCCCACTGTACAGTATACACTGTACAATATACAGTGGGGGAAAAAATTATTTAGTCAGCCACCAATTGTGCAAGTTCTCCCACTTAAAAAGATGAGAGAGGCCTGTAATTTTCATCATAGGTACACGTCAACTATGACAGACAAAATTAGAAAAAAAAATCCAGAAAATCACATAATTTTTTACATTGTAGAATAATAGTAAAGACATAAAAACTATGAAATAACACATATGGAATCATGTAGTAACCAAAACAGTGTTAAACAAATCAAAATTATATATTTTATATTTGAGAGTCTTCAAATAGCCACCCTTTGCCTTGATGACAGCTTTGCACACTCTTGGCATTCTCTCAACTAGCTTCATGAGGTAGTCACCTGGAATTCATTTCAATTAACAGGTGTGCCTTCTTAAAAGTTAATTTGTTGAATTTCTTTCCTCCTTAATGCATTTGAGACAATCAGTTGTGTTGTGACAAGGTAGGGGGGGTATACAAAAGATAGCCCTATTTAGTAAAAGACCAAGTCCATATTATGGCAAGAACAGCTCAAATAAGCAAAGAGAAACGACAGTCTATCATCACTTTAAGGCATGAAGGTCAGTCAACACAGAACATTTCAAGAATTTTGAAAGTTTCTTTAAGTGCAGTCGCAAAAAAACCATCAAGCGCTATGATGAAACTGGCTCTCATGAGGACCACCACAGGAATGGAAGACCCAGAGTTACCTCTGCTGCAGAGGATAAGTTCATTAGAGTTACCAGCCTGAGAAATTGCAGCCCAAATAAATGCTTCACAGGATTCAAGTCACAGACACATCTCAACATCAACTGTTCAGAGGGGACTGTGTGAATCAGGCCTTCATGGTCAAATTGCTGCAAAGAAAACCACTACTAAAGGACACCAATAAGAAGAAGAGACCTGCTTGGGCCAAGAAACACGAGCAATGGACATTAGACTGGTGGAAATGTGTCCTTTGGTCTGGAGTCCTAATTGGAGATTTTTGGTTCCAACCGCCGTGTCTTTTTGAGACGTGGTGTGGGTGAACGGATGATCTCCGCATGTGTAGTTCCCACCGTAAAGCATGGAGGAGGAGGTGTTATGGTGTGGTGGTGCTTTGCTGGTGACACTGTCTGTGATTTATTTAGAATTCAAGGCACACTTAACCAGCATGGCTACCACAGCATTCTGCAGCGAAACGCCATCCCATCTGGTTTGGTCTTAGTGGGACTATCATTTGTTTTTCAACAGGACAACGACCCAACACACACAAGAAGGAGAGTGATGGAGTGCTGCATCAGATGACCTGGCCTCCACAATCCCCCGACCTCAACCCAATTGAGATGGTTTGGGATGAGTCGGATGGCAGAGTGAAGGAAAAGCAGCCAACAAGTGCTAAGCATATGTGGGAACTCTTTCAAGACAGTTGGAAAAGCATTCCAGGTGAAGCTGGTTGAGTGCAAAGCTGTCATCAAGGCAAAGGGTGGCTATTTGAAGAATCTCAAATATAAAATATATTTTGATTTGTTTAACACTTCTTTGGGCAGTACATTATTCCATATGTGTTATTTCATAGTTTTGATGTCTCCACTATTATTCTACAATGTAGAAAATAGTAAAAATAAGGAAAACCCTTGAATGAGTAGGTGTGTCCAAACTTTTGACTGGTACTGTATATATAAGATATATACATATACACATATATATACACATACATACATATATATATATATATATATATATATATGGGCTGCATTTTTGGGGGGGTTTAAAATCTGAGTCACTCTTTCATGCACCATTGCACTCCATTCCGTAGGATACCTCACTATTCTCAGTTTCATCTCGTCTTTACATCTGATATTACAGGCCTATGTGTGATTAGTTTTGATAGTCTACAGTACGCTATAGTTTAGGTGTAGCCTACCGTACGGCTGCACTTCGGATACACTTGACACTTGTATGTCATAGTGGAGACCAATATCTATTTTGTTTTATTAAGCTATATACAACGACGGTTGTTGATGTGTATGGATGCATTTCAGATACATTTTTGTACATTTGAATGTTGTACTAATAGGAACAATAGGCCTACAGTAACAGTAGGTCATGTATTCATATTCTGTCTGGTGCTTTTAGCGTTTGAGCGAGCGAGAGAGGGAGGATGATTTTGATGGCTGGCACTGCTCCAAAAGGACTCAACTGTCCCCGCATGGAGATAAAGAGAACTGCGGGTTTTCAGTGAACGTATCTAAATCACAAGGCTCATTTGAAATGTCCTGGTGCGTAGGGAAAAAATGTGACAAAAGAGTGATCAAATTAAGATCGGACATCTGTAGTATACATATTGAGCAGCTACAGCTGTTGGTATTTGTAAGATCAAACACAATGTCAGACTTTCAGCTGGAAGCTGATCTGTTGGTTGATTGCTAACCTGCTGTTTTCCACTAGGTACATGACAATCTTGTCCAGAAGCTTCTCCATGAGAGCAGTGCGGATCCATAGGTTCCTCAAGCCCTGAGGGGGGAGGTTGGTCACCCTGGGTTGCTTCTGAACACTGCCATTATTTAGTTGAGCCTGTCTGCTGGAGAATACAGAGAGGAGAGGAGTGTTTGATACACATTTTGTATTCATTTGATGGCATATTGGTGTGTGTGTGAGGGGGGATGGGGGGTGGGGGCTTAGGAGGAATGACTAGCCTAGATCAATGTCTTACTTGGTCTCGATGAGCTGCTCTAGTTCCTGGACCTTTTGACAGAGTTCCTCCGCCGGGGTGAAGCTCTTACCCACCTTCATGAAGAGTGCTGCTACCTTATTACTGCAAAGGAGGCCCGCTGCTCGCCTCTTCAGCCCATGGAGCACACATGCCTCCACTACAGCTGTAGATACACAAACACACATAGTACTGAATATACAGACACCAACAGTACATACAGAGTTTGGTTTCAAAACCAACTTTCCCCAAAGCGATATTCACTAAGCTATGATTGCATACACTGTAAACAACAAGTAAACCACATACTGTTTATGGATTTCCCATGCAGAGTTTGATAATTAGATTTGCAGGCGCACCCAGTGAAAATGAAGTGAGAAACCCTTGGACAGTCTGACTGCTACTGCAGGGAAGCAGAGATGGGTTAGAGGGCAGGCGCAGGTGGCTCTCAGCAGGAGCAGAAGTAAACTGAAAACCGACAAACGCTGTTTACTGTTGCTAGGATATCCGTGGATGTGTGGAGGTGTAGTATCAACACCTTTGCATAGTGTCTACTGTCAGTTCAATTTAACACAGGTGGGCATACATGGCTCTTATTCTTTACTATGGCTGTGGCCGGTGCCAACCTAAAATCCAGCTGTGTTTGGTTGAGAATGTGACCGTACACAGATTGGGGTAGTAGGAGGTGGCAGGGCTTGACATTTCAACTCCACAGGATGATGCCCAATGTCACTTGCTCTGTAAATGTCAATGTTCTGACTCTATGCAATCAGTTCAGATTTTTTATGTGAAATAAACGGAATGTCTATGGCATTTACCTCTGTTCAATTCAACCAGCAATAATCGCCCTGCTTTTGATTCCATAATCTTACTGCTGTGCTGTTAATGTAACAATAATCCTGTGTCACATCACAAGTGTGAAATGTGAGGCTGTGACATCAGAGGAATGGGGTGGAGGATACTTGTGAAGAGGTTACAAAGCACTGGTTCAAACCAACAGTGATTCTTCAGTTGACCGAGAATAGCAGCATTGTTTGGGTCTGTGATAAGCGAGAGAAAGGTGCTCTTTGTTTTTAGTTTTTTAACATAGATTTGTAATATTTTTCAAGCATAGCAATTCCTAATAGAGGGAGTGGAAACATAATTATTAGCATCATCATTATTATTGTCCAGCTCCCAAACCCATTCCCCAAACTACCTTGAGTCAGTATGTGTGATCTCCGACAGCAGCGAGGTCTGGGTCGCTGTGTGTCCAGCCCCCATACCCTTTCCCAACCACTGAGGAGATTCCCACTTGCACTTTGCAGAGTATTGCTCTATGTCATGACAGCAATAGATTGGTATAGTTTTGAAATTTGTTTACTGCCAGTTGCCCTTTTCTGAGTATTGATAATAAGATGTTTTTCTTTGGGAGAGGGCTAACCCTTCATTTTTACCCAGTTGGGGTGTTTCAGTAAATAGTCTCTTAGCTGTAAATAGCTAAAGAAATCTGACATTGTCAAATGGAAGTCTGAACTTAGTTCACCAAATGATTTATTTTGGTTGTTCTTCAAGACATCGTGTACATATTGCAAATTAAGTAATGACCACCTTTGAAAACCTGAATCTAGTGATAATGGGGAAAAATTGGTATGATATGGAATACCAGTTAGGGATGATATGCCCATAGGCAGATGGAGACTACGTTGCACTTTCCTCCAAATCTGGAGCGTATGCTTGGACCACGGGTTCTTACTTTCACGGTCTGTCCTCTTTCCCAGGAAAGATCTTACTGCTAGTGGGTATTGACCACCTTAGTTTTTTTCTATTTCGAGCCATCTAGATTAAGCTTTTATCAAATTAATCATTGGTGGCATTTAAGTACCACCTACAGTTTGGTAATCCTAGGCCACGAAAGGTGCTCTTTGGAGATAAGGTTACTTTCATCTCACCAAAAAATGTCATTTCTTTCTTGCCACAATCGCTTACTTCTTTCTATCCACACTTCTCTGGCTCTCATTACAAATGGCAATGGTATTTGGTCAAAGGTGAAAAAACATGTAGGTATGCATCTGTTACACATACTGTAAGCCAAGCAGTCATTAAATCAACACTTAGACCCACCCAGACCAGCTATGCAGCTAGGCCTGCCCATCAACCATGGCATGCACCCTCCCTCCCTCCCATCCAGTCACTGGAGCACAGTCCTTCAGTAGGCTTGTAATAATCTTAATCTTTTCTTTTTATTGGCCAGTCTGAGATATGGCTTTTTCTTTGCAACTCTGCCTAGAAGGTCAGCATCCCGGAGTCGCCTCTTCACTGTTGACGTTGAGACTGGTGTTTTGCGGGTACTATTTAATGAAGCTGCCAGTTGAGGACCTGTGTGGCGTCTGTTTCTCAAACTAGACACTAATGTATTTGTCCTCTTGCTCAGTTGTGCACCGGGGCCTCCCACTCCTCTTTCTATTCTGGTTAGAGCCAGTTTGCGCTGTTCTGTGAAGGAAGTAGTACACAGCCGTTTCCAGCTACAATAGCCATTTACAACATTAACAATGTCTACACTGTATTTCTGATCAATTTGATGTTATTTTAATGGACAAAGAAATTGATTTTCTTTCGAAAACAAGGACATTTCTAAGTGATCCCAAACTTTTGAATGGTAGTGTATATTTAAAACACAAGAATATCACCGTTTTGACTGCACTGGGCCTTTAATTGGGGGGTAACAAATCATACAAAAAATATAAAGGCAAGTCAAAACTCCAATGAGCAATATGAACTGTCAATACTTCTGTTCACAATCAAATTGACCTTGACACACTGTAAAATATGTAACACAAATTCAATAAGTAATATACTACTACATGTACACACTCACCACAGAAGGATATGATATGGCTGCTGTCTGCATGCACAAACTTCCGAGTCACTGACTCCTCCATGATCTGTTTCACCTGAGAAGAAAAGAGAGAGACATAAAGGTGAGGTGGGATTTGATTTGACAGGCAGATAAAGAGACCTGGTCTGACATGAGGAGGCACAGAAAGAAAATAAATCAAAGCACAGAGGGAGGCAAGGATGGGGAGTGATTTTGCAACAAAATCACAGGTAAGCGGAGGGAAGGTGGCGAGGGAATGCAAGAGAGTGTGCAGATCCTGAGTGACAGACTAGATACAGACAGGGTGGGAGATGTTTATCACTTCAGACAAGACAGAGCTTGACCAGGGTAAAAGGAGCGACTAAAGTGTATATTTTCAATGATTTTCCAGTAAAATGACTCTGAGATAGCTTTTAGGTTGATTGATGAAGCTTATGTTATTTTAGTTTTTCTCATACAACCACAAAATAAAACACAACACACACACAATAGTGAAATATGGTGTGACCAATTCCCAGATTATGAAATTATACAGTGCAGAGAAATTGTGAATACTGCGAGAAAATTGATAGAAATTGAATCAAATCTACTAGAAACGGAAGGAAAAAAAGTCAGAGTTTGAGATACAGTATATATTTACTATCACCAACTAGGACTCTCTTCCTTGCTGCACGACCTGGTGCTAGTCATGTCCCCGGTGTGATGAGGCCTCCACAGGCAACCCTCACACTACTGAGAAAAACATCCTGTTTACACTCCCAGGGGGCATGTGACCAATGATTGCCTTCACAAGACGAGAAGAATTGCTGCCAATAACTTGGCAGAATAAGAGTCTTTCTCTTGCATGTTCCTGTGTGCATATGTGTGTGAGTGCCTGTTTACTTTTGTGTTCATGCGCGTGTGAGAGACTGTTTTCCCTCATCTAAAAATGTCACAAAGATGGACAGGGCTATCCACACAAAACAATCTGCTGCTAATAATGCCCTTTTAGTTTTTGTTTTCGATCAGGGCAAAATAACGAACTTGCATCTCATAAATGGAGATAGGACACACCAGTATGCAGCTACAGCTAAAAGAAGCCAGACAGGGAGGTGGTCTCTTCTCTCTCTTTCAGGTTCCTGTAGTGCTGCAGCCCAACTATACCATAAGCCAATTTTCCTTTGAAGTATGATCTGGCTGTAGCTAACAGAGCCGGTGGGGACAGATATCTGTGAGGAGTCTCCAAATAATAAACTGTGACTTTATGGCACAAGAGCAACATCCTTAACACTTTATTTGGATAGTCCATCTGTATAAGCTCTACAAACTATCAGTAACATTTCAACTAACTATCTACTAATCCTAACCCTAGCCATAACCCTAACCCTAAATTTAAGCCTTACCCTTACCCTAACCCTTACCCTAATCTTTATTCTAAACCTAACCCTAACCATTATCTTAGCAAGCAGTTTCTTATCAACAGATAGTTTGTGGATAGTATGACCATCTGTAGAGCATCTACAGATGTACTATCCAAATAAAGTGTGACCACATCCTTTAGGCCTACTTTCTAGACACAGGATATAGCAATATATAATCTGATCAATTGATATAATGTTTTTTGTATGTATAAGAGAGAGGGACAATAGGCTATCTGAGATATGAGCATGCCCAGTGAATTGAGAGGTCCTCCATTACAGCATTAGCATTCAGATAAAATAAATCACACGTAAGAGCGGTTATCAATAATCTTAATGATGCTGCTCTTGGCTCTGCACTGTGACATGCACACATATTCACGTCATGCACATGTAACAGATCCGTATACTGTTACATTGATCTTGACGTTATTGCCTAGGCCTACCTATTGATACCAAATTATTATTTCTCTGCATATAAAAGTATTTCAATCCAAGTCGCCCCTGAACGCATCCTTTATAATAAAATGACGATCCCAAAGAATAGAATAGCCTATTAGGCTAGCATATACATTTGGTCAGACTTCCCGGTGTCTCCATTTTACAATCTTATTTTGGGCATCCAAATAAAACAGAACTGCTGCCACCGATCCATGACCAACGATTGCTTCTAATAATTTGTCATTATAAACATTTCAAATATAGAGGCACCCACCTCTTTCTTCACATTGCGCAGCAATTTCTGACGCGTCTCAGACTCTGGAATGAGAAAACATAACGGTATCATTGAAACCTGGTGAGGCATTCAAACCTATTTTGATATTTTATAACATAGACTATTCAAATCGAAAAACCTAATTTTACCTCCCATTACGCCCCGCTGTTGCTGTTGATTCAATCGCACAAGGACGGCTATTTGCTTCAAATGAGTCCCTCTCTTCAGTTTACACTCAAGCAGATTGTGAATATGCGACACCGTGCAATACACAGCCAATTATTGATGATAGGGCCTGTATTTGCAGTCTATGGTCGATAAAGAATGCATGGACTCACGCAGGTAGACTACACACGCGCATGCTCTCTCACTCTCTTTCTCTCTTTCTCACTCACTCACTCACTCACTCACTCACCCACACACACACACACACACTCACACTGTCCACTGTTTATTTTGCAGGGTAATCTGTGATTATCTCCACCTCATATATTATGAGAGTATACCTAATCTGCATTAGATTTACCAATATTGTCAAAATTATAGCTAATGGAAATTATGATATATCAGGCCTACAATTATCTTCAATTTAACACTATCTCCATTGTAGTCAATGTCAACATTTGACAAATATAATAGGCTAAAATCACGCGGTGTATCAAAATAAATTAGCAGTACCACAATTTGATGTAAACATATATAGAATTTTGGTGTTTGCGTTTTCAATGACAACACAGATGGCTCTCACTTTCCGTCGTTGACGTCAGATAACGGGGAGGGAGCCAGGAAGGGCTATTTGGAGAGCTGATTGCCATACTGTTGGCCTTGCAGTGGGTGGAGGAAGTCAAACAAGACAGAGTAGTTATTTGCTCTGATTCATGTGCAGTGTTAATGAGTCTCCAGTCCTTTAGCTCACATAGCAGACAAGACCTGCTTTATGAGGTGCTACAAACCCATGGCAGGATTAAACAGATGGGTATTCAGATACGATTTACTTGTGTCCCAGCCAATGTGGGGGTGGAGGGGAACGAGGCTAACCAAGCACTTAGTAGTGGGGATGTTGATGTTGAAGTTTCAATGAGCAAGGCAGAGGCAAAAATACTGATATATACAGTGATGGTGCAGAGATGGCAGCAGCAGTGGAATAGAGATAATAAAGGAAGGCATTTATTTCAAGTACAGAGGAAAGTCGGGGAGGGGAGGACGGCAGGAAGGGACAGAAGAGAGGAGGCTATTTTTACAAGATTAAGGGTGGGACACAGCCAGTTGAATAAGACATTAAATGTGATAGGAAAGCATCCATCAGGAAAGTGTGATTATTTTCAGGAAATAGAGACCGTGGAGCATGTATTGCTACAGTGTGGGCAGTATCAGAGGGAAAGAGAGAGGTTGAGATCTAGTATGATGGAGAAGGGGATACAGGAAATTAGTTTAAAGAGTATATTAAGTAGAACGTCATTAGATATAGTCTCAAATATTTTGTCATCTTTTTTAAGAGAAACGGGCTTGGCAGGTATGATTTAGTTTCTCCCTGTCTCTGGCCCACACTCCAGTACAGTAGAAAGCGGTAATGCACCATAACGTTGGATGCCAACCGCCGAAAAACCCCACTGAAGAAGAAGAAGAGGGCTCTTTGGGGAGGAGATCTTGATGATAATGAGATAGCTATACAGTTAGCATTCCTTATCAAATTCTCTGACCTCGTCGTTGTAGCTACAGTAGATACTTGCATAGTGTGTCTCATGAGTTTCCGTCTGAATCGGATAGTTTAAAGGGCTTTCTTTATACAACCAGCTAGTTTACGCACCAAAGGGATGTCAAAGCGGCTGCGCAACAGAGACTGTCAGGTCTGCGCTGATTGTAGCGCCCCGGGTAAACTAAACGATGGCTGGCTAGCCTTCTTAGGAATTTAGCTAGCAAGCTAGCTATCTTATGCTAGCAATTGTATTTCATGGAATGATAACCTAAGCCCTTTTACTATTTGCTTGCTTGATTTTCACTTTCAATGGGATTCACATTCTTGAAACGTTAGTTCCATCAATGCACAGCGTTGCTTGCAACTAGCTCCAGACTAGCTGCTATGACAATGATATCTACGTTAACTAAGAAGAATGGGGAAGTCAGCTACAGTAACCTTAGCTTTCAACGTTATTATTGTTCCTAGCTAGCTAGTTAGCTAATGGCTATCTAGACTTTACAAGTCTTTGTTTTGTAAATGTAGCTTGCATGCTAACGTTAGTTGGGGTATATCTCGTTTGTAGTGTGTAAAAGTAAAGTATTTAGCTATGACATTTGTAGCTAGGTAGTTTCTGTCTGAAATATGTGTGCACTCTATCCGTTCTCAGAACATTTCGTATTATTATGTACGTAAATCAGGGAACTATTTTAAGTATGATATGTTAAGTTTCTTATGGTATGTATTCATTTGTGGATGTCTTTCACCCATTTCGTATGATATGTTACGAATTACAATTCATATTATACGTTATGAATTTTCAAACGTACAATATGTTAAGAATTTTCAAAAACGTATGATATGTTACACATTTGCAAAAACGTATATGTTATGAATTCTAGCTAGGTTGTTAACGTTAGCGAGCTAGGGGTTAGGGTTAGAGTTGAGTTAGGTTAAAGAGTTAAGATTATGGTTAGGTGAAGGGTTAGCTAAAAGGGTTAATGTTAGGTGAAGGGTTACCTAAAATGGTTAGGGGAAGGGTTAGCTAAGTAGTTGAAAAGTTGCTAAAATGCTAAAGTTGGCTCAGATGAGATTCGAACTTGCAACCTTTGGGTTGCTAGATGTTTGTGTTATACATCCACCCTGACCAACCACCTTACTTTAATTTTTGCCTTAAGTAACCATCTGTTTTATGTAACCATACCAAACGTAACATATCATACTAAATGGAGTGTCTCGGATTTACGTACAGAATAATATGAAATGCTCTGAGAATAGGCTGGTGCACTGGATGCATGACTATTTTAGTCTTTATGGTGTTTTTTGTGGACTTGGAGCCTTTGTGGTAATATTGAGTGTAACCTGGTGTGTGTTCCAGGCCCATGCTGGGCCTCAGTGAACAGGGGTGTGCTGGTCTGTGATGAGTGCTGCAGCATCCACCGGGGTCTGGGCCGACACAGTTCCCAAGTCCGACACTTGACCCATACTCCATGGCCCCCCTCCCAGCTACAGGTGAGCATCTCACACAAACTCACACAGTTGTACTGACACTCAAGAACAGTCAGTGGTGTAAAGTACTTGAGTAGTACTTTAAAGTATTTTTACTTAAGTCGTTTTGGGGGGTATCTGTACTTTACTATTGATATTTCTGAGAACTTTTGAATTCAGTACATTCCTTAAGAAAATAATGTACTTTTTCATCCATACATTTTCCTTCATACCCTAAAGTACTCATTATGTTTTGAATGCTTAGCAGGACAGAAAATGGTCCAATTCACGCACTTATCAAGAGAACATCCCTGGTCATTCCTACTGCCTCTGATCTGGCGGACTCACTAAACACACATGCTTCGTTTGTAAATTATGTCTGAGTGTTGGCGTGTGCCCCTGGCTATTGTGCCGTCTGGTTTGCTTTATATAAGGAATTTGAAATGATTTATACTTATACTTTTGATAAAGTATATTTTACTGGGTGACTTTTACTTGAGTCATTTTCTATTATGGTATCTTTACTTTTACTCAAGTATAACAATTAGGTACTTTTTCCACCACTGAGAACAGTCGACTTTTTCAAATGTTGTTTTTCCCCTACCAATTGGTTTTATTGTTGGCTTCCTTTATAGATGGTTCAGACATTGTACAGCAATGGGTCCAACTCCATCTGGGAGCACTGCCTTCTGGATCCCTCATCTATCTCGAGTGGGAAACGCAAGGCCAACCCCCAGGACAGAGTCCAGTGAGTGGAGCACATTTCAGGCTTTTGGTTGAAGGTTAAACAATGGAACTTTAAACAATGGAACTTTAAACAATGTGATGACAAAGCATAAGCATCCAATCTCGCCATGATCTATCACCATCAGTGTGGGACTCTCTGTTGTATTAAAGTGCCATTGGGGGAGGTTTGTCTGGACAGTCTCAGAGGTTCATAAGTGTGTGTCTGTTCCCTTTCCAGTCCCCATAAAACGGAGTTCATCAAGGCCAAATATCAGATGCTGGCTTATGTCCATCGGCTGCCCTGTCGAGAGGATGACAGTGTCACTACGAAGGACCTCAGTAAGGTGAGAGATTGCAGTCAGAACACGCCCAGGATTGCAGGCTTCATTGCCAATGAGCTCATTCATTTGCTAATTTATCAACTGTTTTTTATTAACTGTTAGCTAACCAAACCTCTCTTTGGTGTTCCCTCTAGCAACTCCACTCCAGTGTTCGGACTGGGAACCTGGAGACGTGCCTGAGACTGTTGTCTTTGGGAGCCCAGGCCAACTTCTTCCACCCAGTATGTAAAATATGGCCAATTCCCTGAAACGTATCAATACATAATAGAATGATTACACCAGTGCCCACACATTGTCTTATTGTGTTGGGGTGGTGGCCTGTTTGTCCTTCAGGAAAAAGGAAACACTCCGCTGCATGTAGCAGCTAAGGCAGGCCAGGTGTCACAGGCAGAGCTGCTGGCTGTGTATGGGGCGGATCCCGATGCCCTAGACATGGGGGGTAAGACCCCTATTGACTACGCAAGGTAAAGCAGTCTTCATACTCTTTTATACTGCACTGGAGCAATCCATTACCCCTGATGGTTGCACAACTCTTTCCCAGAGAACGGGTTACGAGGCTGCCTAGTACTAAAGTTTATTAGAATAATCTAAATGATTACAGATATGTCAACTCACTGAATATATTACAACTTTACCACCCTTGGTTTTATTGTAGAGAGGTCTTAAAAATAAATAGTGCTATCGTTGGCATTTACAGTAAACATACATTTACCTCACCGCCACTAATATTGATGTGGAGAAGACTCATGACCTTTTATTCCTGTTCCACTCAGACAAGCAGGGCACCAGGAGCTGGCAGACAGACTGGTAGAGATCCAATATGAACTCACCGACCGCCTGGCATTTTACCTCTGTGGAAGAAGGCCAGGTAAGAGTGCAGAGGGGGGATTTATAGGGAATTGAAGAATTATGTTGGTTGTTCTAATCTGACTGTGTTTGTCTACTAGATCATAGGAATGGACAACACTTCATAATCCCACAAATGGCTGACAGGTAAGAACTGAACCCAACACCATGGCATGCTTATGGAGTTATGGAATGCTGTTCAGACATCTTTGTGACATTTTACAAAAACCTCTTCTCAAAGTCTGATAAGCCAAAATGAAATGCATCTGTGTGTATCCATCCAATGGCTAAGTAACTGAGGTTAAAACATAATGCCTTTATCACACCATCGTTTATCTCCCTTTGCTGGCATATCTTGATGGAAAAGAAATGTGTAAGTATGTCAACTGTTGGCTATAATTTATTGTCTTGCATTTACTATATAAACTGATGGTGTTTTTATTTAAATTATTTTATTATATATATATATCATATTATATATATATTATATATATATTATCTTATATATATATATATATACAACTCAGCTTCACCTGGAATGCTTTTCCAACAGTCTTGAAGGAGTTCCCACATAAGCTGAGCACTTGTTGGCTGCTTTTCCTTCACTCTGCGGTCCGACTCATCCCAAACCATCTCAATTGAGTTGAGGTCGGGGTTTGTGGAGGCCAGGTCATCTGATGCAGTACTCCATCACTCCTTCTTGGTAAAATAGCCCTTACACAGCCTGGAGGTGTGTTGGGTCATTGTCCTGTTGAAAAACAAATGATAGTCCCACTAAGCCCAAACCAGATGGGATGGTGTATCGCTGCAGAATGCTGTGGTAGCCATGCTGGTTAAGTGTGCCTTAAATTCTAAATAAATCACAAACTGTCACCAGCAAAGCACCACCACACCATAACACCTCCTCCTCCATGCTTTACGGTGGGAACTACACATGCGGAGATCATCCGTTCACCCACACCGCATCTCACAAAGACACGGCGGTTGGAACCAAAAAAAAACAAATTTGGACTCCAGACCAAAGGACATATTTCCACCGGTCTAATGTCCATTGCTTGTGTTTCTTGGCCCAAGCAGGTCTCTTCTTCTTATTGGTGTCCTTTAGTAGTGGTTTCTTTGCAGCAATTTGACCATGAAGGCCTGATTCAAGCAGTCCCCTCTGAACAGTTGATGTTGAGATGTGTCTGTGACTTGAACTCTGTGAAGCATTTATTTGGGCTGCAATTTCTCAGGCTGGTAACTGAACTTATCCTCTGCAGCAGAGGTAACTCTGGGTCTTCGATTCATGTGGCAGTCCTCATGAGAGCCAGTTTCATCATAGCGCTTGATTGTTTTTGCGACTGCACTTCAAGAAACTTTCAAAGTTCTTGATATTTTCCATATTGACTGACCTTCATGTCTTAAAGTAATGATGGACTGTCGTTTCTCTTTGCTTATTTGAGCTGTTCTTGCCATAATATGGACTTGGTCTTTTACCAAATAGGGCTATCTTCTGTATACCCCCCTACCTTGTCACAACACAACTGATTGTCTCAAACGCATTAAGAAGGAAAGAAATTCCACAAATTAACTTTTAAGAAGGCACACCTGTTAATTGAAATGCATTCCAGGTGACTACCTCATGAAGCTGGTTGAGAGAATGCCAAGAGTGTGCAAAGCTGTCATCAAGGCAAAGGGTGGCTATTTGAAGAATCTCAAATATATTTTGATTTGTTTAACACATTTCTGGTAACTACATGATTCCATATGTGTTATTTCATAGTTTTGATGTCTTCACTATTATTCTACAATGTAGAAAATAGTCAAAATAAAGAAAAACCCTTGAATGAGTAGGTGTTCTAAAACGTTTGACCGGTAGAGTGTGTGTATATACAGTGGGGAGAACAAGTATTTGATACACTGCCGATTTTGCAGGTTTTCCTACTTACAAAGCATGTAGAGGTCTGTCATTTGTATCATAGGTACACTTCAACTGTGAGAGACGGAATCTAAAAAAAATCTAGAAAATCACATTGTATGATTTTTAAGTAATTAATTTGCATTTTATTGCATGACATAAGTATTTGATACATCAGAAAAGCAGAACTTAATATTTGGTACAGAAACCTTTGTTTGCAATTACATTGATCATACCTTTCCTTTAGGTCTTGACCAGGTTTGCACACACTGCAGCAGGGATTTTGGCCCACTCCTCCATACAGACCTTCTCCAGATCCTTCAGGTTTCGTGGCTGTCGCTGGGCAATACGGACTTTCAGCTCCCTCCAAAGATTTTCTATTGGGTTCAGGTCTGGAGACTGGCTAGGCCACTCCAGGACCTTGAGATGCTTCTTACGGAGCCACTCCTTAGTTGCCCTGGCTGTGTGTTTCAGGTCGTTGTCATGCTGGAAGAACCAGCCACGACCCATCTTCAATGCTCTTACTGAGGGAAGGAGGTTGTTGGCCAAGATCTCGCGATACATGGCCCCATTCATCCTCCCCTCAATACGGTGCAGTCGTCCTGTCCACTTTGCAGAAAAGCATCCCCAAAGAATGATGTTTCCACCTCCATGCTTCACGGTTGGGATGGTGTTCTTGGGGATGTACTCATCCTTCTTCTTCCTCCAAACACGGCGATTGGAGTTTAGACAAAAAAAGCTCTATTTTTGTCTCATCAGACCACATGACCTTCTTCCATTCCTCCTCTGGATCATCCAGATGGTCATTGGCAAACTTCAGATGGGCCTGGACATGCGCTGGCTTGAGCAGGGGGACCTTGCGTGCGCTGCAGGATTTTAATCCATGACGGCGTAGTGTGTTACTAATGGTTTTCTTTGAGACTGTGGTCCCAGCTCTCTTCAGGTCATTGACCAGGTCCTGCCGAGTAGTTCTGGGCTGATCCCTCACCTTCCTCATGATCATTGATGCCCCACGAGGTGAGATCTTGCATGGAGCCCCAGACCGAGGGTGATTGACCGTCATCTTGAACTTCTTCCATTTTCTAATAATTGCGCCAACAGTTGTTGCCTTCTCACCAAGCTGCTTGCCTATTGTCCTGTTGCCCATCCCATCCTTGTGCAGGTCTACCATTTTATACCTGATGTCCTTACACAGCTCTCTGGTCTGAGGTTGGAGTCTGTTTGATTGAGTGTGTGGACAGGTGTCTTTTATACAGGTAACAAGTTCACCTAGGTGCACTTAATACAGGTAATGAGTGGAGAACAGGAGGGCTTCTTAAAGAAAAACTAACAGGTCTGTGAGAGCCGGAATTCTTACTGGTTGGTAGGTGATCAAATACTTATGTCATGCAATAAAATGCAAATTAATTACTTAAAAATCATACAATGTGATTTTCTAGATTTTTTTTAGATTCCGTCTCTCACAGTTGAAGTGTACCTATGATACAAATGACAGACCTCTACATGCTTTGTAAGTAGGAAAACCTGCAAAATCGGCAGTGTATCAAATACTTGTTCTCCCCACTGTATATACACACACTCTACCGGTCAAACGTTTTAGAACACCTACTCATTCAAGGGTTTTTCTTTATTTTGACTATTTTCTACATTGTAGAATAATAGTGAAGACATCAAAACTATGAAATAACACATATGGAATCATGTAGTTACCAGAAATGTGTTAAACAAATCAAAATATATTTGAGATTCTTCAAATAGCCACCCTTTGCCTTGATGACAGCTTTGCACACTCTTGGCATTCTCTCAACCAGCTTCACCTGGAATGCTTTTCCAACAGTCTTGAAGGAGTTCCCACATAAGCTGAGCACTTGTTGGCTGCTTTTCCTTCACTCTGCAGTCCGACTCATCCCAAACCATCTCAATTGGGTTGAGGTCGGGGTTTGTGGAGGCCAGGTCATCTGATGCAGTACTCCATCACTCCTTCTTGGTAAAATAGCCCTTACACAGCCTGGAGGTGTGTTGGGTCATTGTCCTGTTGAAAAACAAATGATAGTCCCACTAAGCCCAAACCAGATGGGATGGTGTATCGCTGCAGAATGCTGTGGTAGCCATGCTGGTTAAGTGTGCCTTAAATTCTAAATAAATCACAAACTGTCACCAGCAAAGCACCACCACACCATAACACCTCCTCCTCCATGCTTTACGGTGGGAACTACACATGCGGAGATCATCCGTTCACCCACACCGCATCTCACAAAGACACGGCGGTTGGAACCAAAAAAAAAACAAATTTGGACTCCAGACCAAAGGACATATTTCCACCGGTCTAATGTCCATTGCTTGTGTTTCTTGGCCCAAGCAGGTCTCTTCTTCTTATTGGTGTCCTTTAGTAGTGGTTTCTTTGCAGCAATTTGACCATGAAGGCCTGATTCAAGCAGTCCCCTCTGAACAGTTGATGTTGAGATGTGTCTGTGACTTGAACTCTGTGAAGCATTTATTTGGGCTGCAATTTCTCAGGCTGGTAACTGAACTTATCCTCTGCAGCAGAGGTAACTCTGGGTCTTCGATCATGTGGCAGTCCTCATGAGAGCCAGTTTCATCATAGCGCTTGATTGTTTTTGCGACTGCACTTCAAGAAACTTTCAAAGTTCTTGATATTTTCCATATTGACTGACCTTCATGTCTTAAAGTAATGATGGACTGTCGTTTCTCTTTGCTTATTTGAGCTGTTCTTGCCATAATATGGACTTGGTCTTTTACCAAATAGGGCTATCTTCTGTATACCCCCCTACCTTGTCACAACACAACTGATTGTCTCAAACGCATTAAGAAGGAAAGAAATTCCACAAATTAACTTTTAAGAAGGCACACCTGTTAATTGAAATGCATTCCAGGTGACTACCTCATGAAGCTGGTTGAGAGAATGCCAAGAGTGTGCAAAGCTGTCATCAAGGCAAAGGGTGGCTATTTGAGGAATCTCACATAAAATATATTTTGATTTGTTTAACACTTTTTGGCTTACTACATGATTCCATATGTGTTATTTCATAGTTTTGATGTCTTCACTATTATTCTACAATGTAGAAAATAGTAAAAATAAAGAAAAACCCTGGAATGAGTAGGTGTGTCCAAACTTCTTATATATACACTGCTCAAAAAATAAAGGGAACACTAAAATAACACATCCTAGATCTGAATGAATGAAATAATCTTATTAAATACTTTTTTCTTTACATAGTTGAATGTGCTGAAAACAAAATCACACAAAAATTATCAATGGAAATCAAATTTATCAACCCATGGAGGTCTGGATTTGGAGTCACCCTCAAAATTAAAGTGGAAAACCACACTACAGGCTGATCCAACTTTGATGTAATGTCCTTAAAACAAGTCAAAATGAGGCTCAGTAGTGTGTGTGGCCTCCACGTGCCTGTATGACCTCCCTACAACGGCTGGGCATGCTCCTGATGAGGTGGCGGATGGTCTCCTGAGGGATCTCCTCCCAGACCTGGACTAAAGCATCCGCCAACTCCTGGACAGTCTGTGGTGCAACGTGGCGTTGGTGGATGGAGCGAGACATGATGTCCCAGATGTGCTCAATTGGATTCAGGTCTGGGGAACGGGCGGGCCAGTCCATAGCATCAATGCCTTCCTCTTGCTGGAACTGCTGACACACTCCAGCTACATGTGGTCCTCTGTAGCTCAATTGGTAGAGCATGCGCTTGTAACGCCAGGGTAGTGGGTTCGATCCCCGGGACCACCCATACGTAAAAATGTATGCACGCATGACTGTAAGTCGCTTTGGATAAAAGCGTCTGATAAATAGCATATTATATTATTATTATTATTATAGGTCTAGCATTGTCTTGCATTAGGAGGAACCCAGGGCCAACCGCACCAGCATATGGTCTAACAAGGGGTCTGAGGATCTCATCTCGGTACCTAATGGCAGTCAGGCTACCTCTGGCGAGCACATGGAGGGCTGTGCAGCCCCCCAAAGAAATGCCACCCCACACCATGACTGACCCACCGCCAAACCGGTCATGCTGGAGGATGTTGCAGGCAGCAGAACGTTCTCCACGGCGTCTCCAGACTCTGTCACGTCTATCACTTGTGCTCAGTGTGAACCTGCTTTCATCTGTGAAGAGCACAGGGCGCCAGTGGCGAATTTGCCAATCTTGGTGTTCTCTGGCAAATGCCAAACGTCCTGCACGGTGTTGGGCTGTAAGCACAACCCCCACCTGTGGACGTCGGGCCCTCATACCACCCTCATGGAGTCTGTTTCTGACCGTTTGAGCAGACACATGCACATTTGTGGGTCACCTAAAAATGTCTAGGTGACCCCAAACTTTTGAACGGTAGTGTATGTATGTATGTATATAAATTATTGTTGTTTTTGTCCACAGCAGTCTGGATTTGTCAGAATTTGCAAAAGCTGCAAAGAAAAAACTCCAGTCTGTGAGTGAAATTATATATTTTTTTATTATGGTCCTTTTAGACATACCAGTGATGTGATTTTACTGTGGCTTGTGATTTCAGCTCACTAACCATCAGTTTGAAGAGCTTGCCATGGATGTTTATGATGAAGTGGACAGAAGAGAAACTGATGCAGGTGAACAGATACAGTGACATTTGATTGTGTTTGTAGTAGGGTCGTTCTTGAATTGCGGTGGCATTTGGTGGCCCTTGCCTATGCAACCATAAAAAAAACACTTTAAAATGACAAATAGTTACACATCACATTGTCACTGTTTATATTGAACTGTTTATCAATGATAAAACATAATGCAAGTATTTTATACTGCAAAACTTTGTTTAAAGTACTTGGGGTAAGCAAATTGGTTGTCCCAGTAGTCACGTGTAGAGTTGTAATGACATGTTTTGGGGGTTTAGAGATATCTATTATTTTGAATGCTAGAAAGTGAACAAAATAATTTAATATATTGTGTATATCAATAAAAACTATTTTTTTACTAGTATGGCTGTCCCTCAGTTTTATGTAATTGGTGTTACCGCCTTAAAAATCACTCATTAAAGATATACAAGCATTCCCTACAGTGGCAAACTGTTATTGGGGGAGAGGTCTATATTAAAGAAAAATATTAGCTAATCACACTGTTAGTATGTCATACATTTTAGGATTCCGTTGATAATTTGGTGTGTCTAAATCCGAAGTGTCACTTGGTGTTACTCAATTTGAATGAAGGGAAATAACAATGTGAGCAAAATTATTAATGATATCATTTAGTAAAGGGACCTTTTAGATTTGGGCATCTGTGGCCTCCATTTAAGAAAATCTTCAATAACCTAAAATGTCTCATTGGCGTTATCATCATTAGTGTTACTACTCCTACTGGTGGCACAATGTTATTTAAAGTCATTAAACTGCCATATCAGTTGATTTAGAATGGGAAGACTTACCCAAATACATTTTAAATTAAAACAAATCTAGAAAAAATATATGTTTTTCTATGCCCAAATGCCACTGCAATTCAAGACTGACCCAGTAGGTTTAGCAGAAATTGTGATTGCTTGTATGTGTTTGATATAGGTATCACTAGGTGTGTTTAATATATTATTATTATTATTATTATTATTAATATGAAACAAATAATGTATATTTATGGTCCGTCTTTGCTGTATCAGTGTGGCTGGTGACTCAGAACCATAGCACTCTGGTAACAGACACAACTGTGGTGCCTTTCCTCCCTGTCAACCCTGAGTACTCATCCACCAGAAACCAGGCAAGTCAGCTAAAAATGTAATTCAATGTTATGTCAAATTGGTGGGTCTCTTTCCCAAGCCTTTAGCTGAGTTTTATGTATTTGATTGAAGAGCCTAAACTTCCAAAACAGCAGCTTCATAATATTGTCTTGTTTTGCAGGGCCGGCAGAAGCTAGCGAGGTTCAATGCACATGAATTTGCAACACTCGTCATTGATATATTAACTGACGCCAAACGTCGGCAACGGGGGAACTCCTGTAAAAGTCCAAGAGGTATAGTACAGTAATTTGAAGCTACACTTATTTACATTTGGTACTTTAGAACAAAGCTCCTTACTGTACCCACCAGGGCATGGTTGTTGCGTGGTTCACTCCCCTAACTGTTGCTATCTCTCTCCTCAGAGGACATAGAGCTCATCCTGAAGCGAATCAGCAGCCGTCATGGGAGTGAGAGCCAGGATAATGAAGACCAGCCAGATTATGACAGTGTGGCATCTGATGAAGATCCAGAGCGGGAACCAGCCTCTGGGAACAATGGGAAAGATGGCAGGACCAAGGTAACACCATATTTATCGTTTTTTAGTTTAGTTTTTCATTAACATAGTATTGGCATAGCCATTATGTGAAACTGACACAATTTTAACTACTTTGCCGATATGAAACAAACAACATTCAAAAATATCAAATTCAGTTTGTTACAAAACCAACATTTATAAGACATTTAAAAAATTGGTTCTATTTGCATAATTAATATACCGTAATTTTCGGACTATAAGCCGCGCCTTTTTTCCCATTTTTTGACCCTGCGGCTTATATAACGGTGCGGCTAATCTATGGATTTTTACAGCTAACGGCCACTAGAAGACCTCCTAAATCTATGGATTTTACAGGTTACAGTCCACCAACTTTAACTCTATGGGCTCTATGACCGGTCCGCGCCCCCCACCTTTAAGCGGCGGGCTCCAGCAGGAAAAGCTGGAGGCCGGCGCAAAAGTAAAAGTGGAACCGAGAGTGGTACGAGAGATAGAACGAGAGACAGAACGAGAGCAAGACAGACAGACATTACGAGAGCGAGACAGTTTGTGCAAAGGAAGTTTTCATGCACAAACCCTCAATATGGAAAACAAACGTAGAAATGCATATGATGCAGCTTTTAAGTTAAAGGCAGTCAATCTGGCTGTCAAAACATCCACGATCATTAACGGGTTCCGAAAGGCTGGACTGCTGCGTGATGAAGAGGAGGACGCCGCCACAGCTGAGGCCCTTCAGAGGCTGTTCGATTCCGACAGTGACGAAGAGGAGTTCGTTGGTTTTGAGAGCGACAACGAAGGAGAGAGGAGAGTGGCTGACGAAGCCACCCTGAGCCTGTTCGTTTCCGACACTGAAGATGAGGACTTTGGTGGTTTTAGTACGCAGGAAGAAGACGGAGATGAGGATTAATGACTTGACTTTTCTGGTTACAGCCGTGTACTGCACCTTAGCCTAAAAGATGAAGACGAGGATTAATGACTTTTCTGGTAGGCTGATTACCGTATATTTTAAGCAGCCGTGTTGCTGCAACTTTAGGCTTACGCGCTTACTGTCGTGTTACAGGCACTTTATTTTGCACTTTTAAAAAAACACATTTAATTTAGCCATTGATATTGCCTCGTCAAGCGCTGTAAGCTTTGTTTTTTGTTATGGTACTACTGTAGGCTATAATGTAGATAAATATTCAAAGATGTGCACACTTTTTCAAGGTTTTTCAAAAATAACCAAAGTTAAGTGGTTAAATGATTGTGACGCTATTAACTAATTTTGCTGGGGAACCCCTAGCACTCCCTCAAGGACCACTGGTTGAAAACCACTGCTGTAGATCACTGCCGGCATGTGCGCTGGGAGCGCACCGTTTAAGTTTGAAAGTTGAAAAGTTTGTGTGTCTGAAACGCTATGTGATACAGTACAGTATACACAGCACAGTATATGTTCTGCAGCTACTATTGCACTAAATGGTAACACTTGAATACGTTATGCAAATATGCAACTTGTTTGTTGAAATGTTAATAAATGGGAGCTTCCTCAAGCAGCCATCTCTTTCCCGACAATCCCCTCTGTGCACGAACCCTTACATATGGTAATTAAACATTAAAACACCTGCGGCTTATAGTCCAGTGCGGCTTATATATGTACACATCATTCAATATCATTCAATTTAGCTGCTGCGGCTTATACTCCGGTGCGCCTTATAGTGCGGAAAATACGGTAATTCACCAATACATTGCTTGGTAGTCTAATAAATATTGCTATTAGTTGTAAATCACGGCTTGTACATTGTTTGCTGCCTTCAGCCATTCGGTTATGCACCGTTTCAGTTTCACTTACTCAATATATATAAAAACGGATGAAAGTAAGGTGCGGGTCTCAACACAAACTAGCCAGGGCAAATATCACAAGTCATAACGTGGCTAGCTGATCTATTTAGCTATGTATTTATTTAGCTAGCTAAAAACACGGAGCCTCATAGCTAGCAAGTTGCTGGGATGTCATGTCATACAAGCTTGAACAAGTGGGTGAGTGGCAGCTTCGGTGGCTAGCTACAAGTTGCAGGCGTCATTTGGTTAGCTTGCATGTGACTCACTTAGCTAGTTTTGCTGAACTTGAACATTTTACATTTAAGTCATTTAGCAGACGCTCTTATCCAGAGCGACTTACAAATTGGTGCATTCAACTTAGGAACTTGAACGACTGTTATCCACAGTTAGCGCATATCCCTTAGTTGTCAATCAAATGAATTGGGAATGTTATTTTGATAGGGGGTGCAGGACCTATGTGTGCACATGCTTTCATATTTTATGGGCATAATAGTAAAGATGTCATTTAACTGTAAAAATGTAGGCTATAATACCTTTTAATGTGGCATGAACACAACCCGGCATGTTTTCATCAAATCACTTAAAAAAGTAGGCTACCTGCGCATGTTCGATCCACTCCATAAGGATTCCAGCATCTAAAACAGTGCACTGTGCACCCGCCATTCATCTTAAAACACCAAAAGTGTAATGATATTTGTCGATTGTCATTAGGCACACTTGTAGCCTGAATTGATTGATTGCGTCCACTACTGTCCGCACACGTCATGGTCCAGGCTCATCTCTGCCTACGCAGGCTACTTTCACCCCTATTTTAGATATTTTTCTGCATATCATTTCTGACATTTGGTAGGCTATTTGTTAGCCAACTTGTCTATAATTAGACAGGCCTTCATGCAACTTCTCTTCTGTCACTACTTGTTGCTCTAGAAGAAAAAAAAAACAGAATGATAGAATGAATGCATCAATAATAATAAACCTAAAATAGTTGACATCAGTAAAGTTCTCTTCCATTTCTGCTCTGAGTGAGGACGTGTAGGGACCAGGGGGAAAATGCAATAGCCTGACTAAAACAGCGGAAAGATTTGTATGCAACAATATCAAAGATTTTACTGAGTTACATTTCATATAAGGAAATCAGTCAATTGAAATAAATTACCTTTTAATAAAATGCCTTTAAAAAGAAAAAGGAGGGGCGTGGATCCGAACTAGTCAGTATCTGGTATGACCACCATTTGCCTCATGCAGCGCAACATCTCCTTCGCATAGAGTTGATCAGGCTGTTGATTTTGGCCTGTGGAATGTTGTCCCACTCCTCTTCAACGGCTGTGCGAAGTTGCTGGGTATTGGCTCGAACTGGAACATGCTGTCGTGCACATTGACCCAGAGCGTCCCAAACCTGCTCAATGGGTGACATGTCTGGTGAGTATGCAGGCCACAACTGGGACATTTTCAGATTCCATGAATTGTGTACTGATCCTTGCGGCATGTGGCCGTGCATTATCATGCTGAAACATGAGGTGATGGCGGCGGATAAATGGCACGAAAATGGGCCTCAGGATCTCGTCACGGTATCTCTGTGCATTCAAATTGCCATTGATAAAATGCAGTTGTGTTCGTTGTCCGTAGCTTATGCTTGCCCATACCATAACCCCACTACCACCATTGGGCAATCTGTTCACAACGTTGACATCCGCAAACCGCACGCCCACACGACTCCATACACGTTGTCTGCGGTTGTGAGGCCGGTTGGACGTACTGCCACATTCTCTAAAATGACGGAAGCGGTTTATGGTAGAGAAATGAACATTCAATTCCCTGGCAACAGCTCTGGTGGACATTCCTGCAGTTAGCATGCCAATTGCACGCTCCCTCAAAACCTGAGACATCTGTGGCATTGTGTTGTGTGACAAAACTGCACATTTTAGTGGCCTTTTTTATTGTCCCCAGCACAAGGTGCACTGTGTAATGATCATGCTGTTTTAATCAGCTTCTTGATATGCCACACCTGTCAGGTGGATGGATTAACTTGGCAAAGGAGAAATGCTCACTAACAGGGATGTAAATAAAATTGTGCACACAATTTGAGAGAGATAAGCTTTTTGTGCGTCTGGAAAATTTCTGGGAACTTTTATTTCAGCTCATGAAACATGGGACCCTTTACATGTTGCGTTTTATATTTTTGTTCAGTATATCTTATGCTACATGTGAAAGTAATTGGCCTACAGTCAGTGTCCATATTTCAGTTACTACAGTTGGCTAAAACTTCAGTGTACAAATATTTATTCCCCATCGTATCAGTACAATTTTGACGTTTTTATTTACTGCAGTGTCTATTAATTTCCCAAACGCACGGAAGCTTTCCCATTCATATTACCATAGAATTTTCACAAATACCCAACTCTACGTCATTTCCAAACATTCGATTTAATGTTTGAAAACATTAAAGTTAGCATATCTATGTGCTCGCTTGTCACAAAATGAGGAAAAAAATCTGTCATTGTTCCCAAGGGTGTATATGAACAGATTTTAATAAAATGTAATGGTGCAAAATCTGTGTCTTTAAAATCTCCATCCCACCATGCTTCCCCATTCTTCAGAGCTCTGAGTCGTCGGACTTGTCTGATGGGCCCATCACATTACATGAGTTCATGGAGGTGAAGAGCGCCCTCACGGCCTCCGAGACCAAGATACAGCAGCTGCTCAAGGTCAACTGTCACCTGAGTGAGGAGCTCCGGTTGATGCAGAGCAAGGTACATTTATGACTTGGGCATTATAACAACCCACCAATCCCACAGTAAGTCTAGTGGCTTTGTGCTGATTCAGTTTGCAGCCACACAAGAAAGCAGAACAGCACCCTTGTTGTGTTGGTCCTTCTCATGTTTCTTATGTTGTCAGTGCAAATAAAGGCAAGCTGTTTTACAGCATTGTAGAACTGGAGGTGTTTGGGTGAACACATTCAGATTGTAATCCATATATGACAGGAACATTTAGCTCATTCAAGGAAGCAGCTGGTTTGTTGTTTTCTCATGAGAAGTTGAACAATAGTCTGGGAGTGTCCTTCGTTACCAGACCAGGTCTATTAACAGAAAAGGAAGTGAAAACACAGTGGAAGTGCAGCTGTCTGACCATCGAGAGATGGGTTCCCTCTTTTACAGTCTGGATAGAGAGATTTTTCTCCATCCAAATCTGCACTGATACTCTCACATCCTCCATGGTATGATCACCCTAGGTTTCACACATAGGCCTTTATTTACGCTATTACACAGAAATAAAGCTGATGTTCTGAACTTCTGTCCCGTCCAGCTGAACTCCATGCAGACTGAGAAGTCTTCCCTGCGATGGCAGACACCCAGTGGCCAGCAGCACCCTCAGGACCTCTCCGGCCGCCCCCCTGTCCCCGGAGGCCGCCCCATGTCCATGTACGAGACGGGCTCGGCCATGAGGCAGTATCCCCACAGGGGCGAGCCCCCTCGTCGTGACGACGGCCTCACTCTCCAGCCCCTCCCTACAAACGTAAGTTCAGAAGTCACTAACACCGCTCCCTCCTGGACTGTTCTATGCCATTCACTGTGGACCAGTGCCATCAGCGGTGTTGGTTTGTGGTAATTCTTTTTCAGCATATTGGGTTTTTGTTTGTCGCAATTCAGTTTTTGTTTGTGCATTTATCCCCACCCCCCTCCTCTAGAATATAGTCAACTCCCTTTGTGTAAACTTGGTTTGACCCCTTTCTAGATTGGGAGGGGTCCTTTGGGGACCGCCTCGTCCTCCCTCCCTACCTTCCCCTCCTCCCTGTCCTGGTCGCGGGACGAGCGAGCTCGAAGGGTTAAGTACCGCATCTCCCCTCTGAGAGGATGGGGGCAGCTGCCCCAGGGAAGGGGTGCTATCCCCTCTGCTTGTCCACTTCCTTTCCTCTCCTCCTGTACCTCCTCCTTATACTCTGTCCTGTGCTCATGTACCTCACTGCCTCTCCTCTCAGCATCGCCTGGCTGGCTGGCTGCATGCACCACTTTGCTGCTGCTGTTCTTCATTAACCCTTATTCCCCCAGCCAGCACTGCCGTGTAGAGTACCTGAATAAACTTTTTTAGAAAGGCAGAGCTATACATGGGTGTCTGTGTGTTTTCAAAGGCCCCAAAACACTACATGTACAATGTGGTGTTTCCATACATCCTGTCAGGAGGCTACAGGGTTGTTGAAACAGACAAGGAATACAGAATGTTAATGTAATGTGAACAGTAGTATTTACAAGCCATAGGGGGTAGACAACCATCTGTACTGAAGCCCTTACCCGTACCACAGGATTCCTTGATCTCATTTACACACAGAGCTGGTCCCTGGTTCAAACTTCCTACCTCTTTTTACTCTCTGCCTTGAAACCAATTGAGGTATGTTTAATATGAAATGGCTTTTTAGGTTCAGAGAGCATGATTCTGACCCGTCTGCTTCATCAAGCACGTTCAGACCGCGGTAACATGTATGTGCGGCTGTTCAAATGCTCTCTCACCAGATTCAAAGGTTGTCTGCAAACTAAACTAAGAGACGACCCTCATCTTACTGTATCATTCATCCCATTGTAGGGTTGCAGCCTGGAGGGACAGAGCAGCATGCTGGAGAGTGACTATGACAACACACCAAAGTACACAGGACTGGAGTCTGGGTAAGACTTTTGATTTAAGACTATAGGAGAAAAATATTGACTTCTGTATGTAAAATGTAGAAACATTTAGCATTCGCTAATATACAAAGTGATCTACAAGTGAGGAAGAGCCTAACCCTAGAATATCTTCTCTCCCCATACAGTATGGGCAGGAACAGCAGTTGGCTGGGTGATGGCAGTACAGCAGAGCAGGGTGAGAGGGAGGATGAGACTGAGGCTGACTCCACCCTGCCCTGCACCGAGGACGTCATCTGTAAGACAGAGCAGATCACCAAGAACATCCAGGAGCTGCTGAGGGCCGCACAGGAGAACAAACACGAGAGGTAAGGTCAGGAACACAGACAATGCCAATCAGATAGAGAAAAGGTATCTTGACTTAAAGGTTGTGCGTTGAAGTAAAACTTGCCCTTTCGGTTCTAAATATGGGAAACGGTGCTGCTCATATATTATTCCTTCACCTATCCAACCTTCAACCTACAGTAATTGTGTTATTCAGAGGATGTATCCTGTTTTTCTATCTTTCTGTCCTCCTCCTGAGTTCTGTTTAGACGGTCCTGTATTCCCACTCTGTCCTCCCCTCCCTGTTCTTGTGTCTTCCTGTCTGTCTGACTTTCTTCCTCATGGTATGGGCTAGCTCCAGGCCAGGAAGTCTAGGCTGCTTCTCTGGCCTGCTGCCCTGCTGTGACCGCGGACGGGCCTGTCTCTACAGCCTGGTGCCCAGCTCTGACAGGGCTGCCCAGGGCTGTCTATCTACCCTGCTGCCCTGTTCTGAGAATGTGTTAGAGGCCCCGGCTTCCGCTCTCCAGGCCCCCCCCCCCCCCCCCCCCCCCCCCCGGCTCTGGCTCCTGGTATTCTGGCCTCTGTCCCTGTCTCCCAGGCACTGTCACTGTCTCCTCTGTCTGTGTGCTGAGGGACGGGGGCATGTGTCAAACGCAGCTGGCAGGAAACAAAGAGGACAATGTCTCAGATTCCCTTATGGAATGCCATATACAGTGCATTCAGAAAGTATTCAGTCCCCTTCCCTTTTTCCACATTTTGTTACGTTGCATCCTTATTCTAAAATTGATAAATAATTTTTTTCCCCTCATCAATCTACACACAATACCCCATAATGACAAAGTCAAAACAGGTTTTTAGAAATGTTTGCAAATAAAAAACAGATACCTTATTTACATAAGTATTCAGACCCTTTTATTATTAGACTCGAAATTGAGCTCAGGTGCATCCTGTTTCCATTGATCATCCTTGAGATGTTTCTACAACTTGATTGGAGTCCACCTGTGGTAAATTCAATTGATTGGACATGATTTGGAAAGGCGCGCACACCTGTCTATATTAGGTCCCACAGTTGACAGTGCATGTCAGAGTAAAAACCAAGCCATGAGGTCGAAGGAATTGTCCGTAGAGCTCTGAGACAGGATCGTGTCGAAGCACAGATCTGGAGAAGGGTACCAAAACAGCATTGAAGGTCCCCAAGAACACATTGGCCTCCATCATTCTTAAATGGAAGACGTTTGGAATCACCAAGACTCTTGGTCAGGGAGGTGACCAAGAACACGATGGTCGCTCTGACAGAGCTCCAGAGTTCCTCTGTGGAGATGGGAGAACCTTCCAGAAGGACAACCATCTCTGCAGCACTCCACCAATCAGTGGCCAGACGGAAGCCACTCCTCAGTAAAAGGCACATGACAGCCCACTTGGAGTTTGCCAAAAGGCACCTAAAGGACTCTCAGACCATAATAAACAAGATTCTCTGGTCTGATGAAACCAAGATTGAATTATTTGGCCTGAATGCCAAGCGTCACGTCTGGAGGAAACCTGGCACCATCTCTACGGTGAAGCATGGTGGTGGCAGCGTCATGCTGTGGGGATGTTTTTCAGTGGCAGGGACTGGGAGACAAGTCAGGATTAAGGAAAAGATGAACGGAGCAAAGTACAGAGAGATCCTTGATAAAAACCTGCTTCAGAGCGCTCAGGACCTCAGACTGGGGCGAAGGTTCACCTTCCAACAGGACAATGACCCTAAGCACACAGCCAAGACAACGCAAGAGTGGCTTCAGGACAAGTCTCTGAATTTCCTTGAGTGGCCCAGCCAGAGCCCAGACTTGAACCCTATCGAACATTTCTGGAGAGACCTGAAAATAGCTGTGCAGCGACGCTCCCCATCCAACCTGACAGAGCTTGAGAGGATCTGCAGAGAAGAAAGGGAGAAACTCCCCAAATACAGGTGTGCTAAGCTTGTAGCGTCATACCCAAGAAGACGTGCGGCTGTAATCGCTGCCAATGGTGCTTCAACAAAGTACTGAGTAAAGGGTCTGAATACTTATGTAAAAGTGATATTTCAGTTTTTTATGTTGAATACATTTTTAAAAATGTCTAAAAACCTGTTTTTGCTTTGTCATTATGGGGTATTGTATGTAGATTGAGGGGGGGGGGGGGGAACAATTTAATTCATTATAGAATAAGGCTGTAACGTAACAAAATGTGGAAAAAGTCAAGGAGTTCGAATACTTTCCGAATGCACTGTATAGGCCTATGGAGCTTTTACATGTCAACACACAGGCAATCCTTGATCCTTATCTTTTAGTCTGTGTTTGGGGGGGGTCTGTTTTTATTAAATACTGTTTCACACTGGCTATTCATTCAGTGTTTATACAGTCCACTTGAATTCAAACTGCTGTCTTTAACACAAACCCTCACTATTGGCCCCCATTTGACTAAAGCTGTGTCGTATATGCTTAGCTTTTTCGCTTGTGTGCCAAACCTCACTCCAGCTGGTGACCACAGAACACTGCTGAAGAATTTCACCCTGTCAATTTGTATGCGTCCTCAGTCTAGTGGGTAATAACGGAGACATTGTTATTGATTGAAACGGTGGAAAGTTATTATGTATTCCATTATCTGATTTCTAAGCCGTGTGTGGTGTTGGTTTCAAACAATGATTCATTGTTGATTATATTTTCAGGGCTTAACAGACTCCACTACATTATATTGTCTATGGCTTTGACTGGGCTGAGTGGGAACTGTGCTTCCGTAGAGGTAGGGGAGCTAGCAGGCCAGAGGTGGATGAACGTAGTGCCCTCGTTTGGGTGTAGGGTCTGATCAGAGCCTGAAGGTAAGGAGGTGCCGTTCCCCTCACAGCTCCGTAGGCAAGCACCATGGTTTTGTAGTAGATGCGAGCTTCAACTGGAAGCCAGTGGAGTGTGCGGAGGAGCGGGGTGACGTGAGAGAACTTGGGAAGGTTGAACACCAGACGGGCTGCAGCGTTCTGGATAAATTGCAGGGGTTTAATGGCACAGGCAGGGAGCCCAGCCAACAGCGAGTTGCAGTAATCCAGACGGGAGATGACAAGTGCCTGGATTAGGACCTGTGCCGCTTTCTGTGTAAAGTAGGGTCGTACTCTGCGAATGTTGTAGAGCAGGGGTGTCAAACGTCCGGCCCGCGGGCCGGATCAGGCCCGCAAACGGGTTTAATCCGGCCCGCGAGATGACAATTTTATATATATATATATATATATATATATATATATATATATATATATATATATATATATTTTTTTTTTTTATTTTTTTTTTTTTTTTAAGTATAAAAATGCACTGCAATTTTTCAATAAAATAAACTGCTGTTCCAATTGCGTCCACTGGATGGCGCAATAGCAATTGTGTTAAGCAAGCAAACTGTTTATACCGGGGCAGAGCAAGTAGGTCAAGCACATGCAGCCAATGAGCTACTTTGTTTTGCCCGCGATATTTATTACGGCTTCTACTTTTAACATTATGTGCTTTGGCACCCTCATTGCCCCAATATGTCTCTGTCAAAAAAGAGAAAAGTGGACGCAGAGTGCAGAGTGTTCCAAGAAAAATGGTCATCCTATTTATTCACGGAATTGAATGGGAAAGCTGTATGTTTGGTGTGTTCAGAGCATGTTGCAGTGCTGAAAGAATATAACCTTCGTCGCCACTATGTGAGTCTTCATGCCGACAAATATGACAACTTTCAAGGACAGCGGAGATGAGAGAAGGTGAATGAACTGTTGGCAGGTCTGAAGAAACAGCAGTCTGTGTTTACTCACAGCCGAGACATCAGTGACGCTGCAGTGAAAGCTAGCTACCTCATTGCTAATGAAATCGCAGTTGCTTCAAAACCATTTAGTGAGGGTGAATTTGTAAAAACATGCATGATGAAGGCAGCGGAGATTGTGTGCCCTGAAAAGCGGCAGGCTTTTGCAAATATCAGCCTGACAAGAAACACAGTTGCAGACAGGATTTCCGATCTTTCAGTGGATTTGGACAGCCAGTTGAAGCAAAAAGTAAAGTCATTTATTGCGTTTTTGGTTGCAATTGATGAAAGCACGGACATTACAGATGTTGCACAACTGGCCATTTTCATCCGCGGAGTTGATGACACATTGACCGTCACCGAGGAGTTCGTGGAGTTGGTGCCGATGACAGATACAACGACAGCAGCTGATATTTTTACCGCACTCGTCGGCGCGCTGGACAGGGTCGGAGTGGACTGGTCCCGCGATGTCAGCCTGGCTACAGATGGTGCGCCCTCAATGATCGGGAAAAAAGCAGGCGTTGTGACAAAGTTCAGAGAGAAAGTGCAATCTGCAAATGGAGGACGTGATTTTTTGACTTTTCACTGTATTTTTCACCAGGAGGCTTTGTGTTGCAAGTCATTAAAGATGGATAACGTCATGAAGGTGGTCATCCAAACTGTTAATTTCATCCGATCCAGAAGCCTGAATCACCGTCAGTTTGACAGCCTTCTCAGAGAGAAAGACCACATCTATGGCCTGCCATACCACACTGAGGTAAGATGGTTAAGCCGAGGTGCTGTACTGAGGCGTTTCTTTGATTTACGAGAAGAAATTGAACAGTTCATGGAAGAAAAGGGCAAACCAGTGTTAGAATTTCATTCCGCAGAATGGATGCAGGACCTTGCATTTATGGTGGATGTTACAGAGCACCTGAATAACTTGAACAAACAGCTGCAAGGGCGCAACAAAGTTGTCACGCAGTATTATGACAGCATACGTTCTTTCAAGTTGAAGCTGTCATTGTGGGAGACGCAACTTGCCGGTGGTGATGCAGCTCACTTCCCCTGTCTGAAAAATGTGTGCGCGACCCAACATGTGGCAGACATGAAGCGGTTCAAATATAAAATAACGGGACTGTTACGGGAGTTTGAGCAACGCTTTCAGATTTATGTTTATATGTTTTTATGTTGATGTGCTATTGTTTTTAATTGATTTTATTTTATTTGTATATTTAACCTATTCTTGACTCTGTGGTTCTTGCACTTGTTTGGGGAACAGGATTTCATTATTTTTATCTACATTTCTGCCTGCGAAATGACACCCTGATATAGTTCTGTGATCTGTGATATACTTCTGTGAATCACTGAGGCATTGTGTGTTTGTGTGTTCTTTGTCCTCAGAACTTTCAAATAACTTGAGGTGTTTTATGATTAATAGTGATGTTGTGCTTTTGGACACTGTCCTCAGGCTCCAGCTTTATGTTTATATGTTTTTATGTTGATGTGCTATTGTTTTTAATTGTTTTTATTTGTATATTTAACCTATTCTTGACTCTGTGGTTCTTGCACTTGTTTGGGGAACAGGATTTCATTATTTTTATCTACATTTCTGCCTGCGAAATGACACCCTGATATAGTTCTGTGATCTGTGAAACAGTTCTGTTAATCACTGAGGCATTGTGTGTTTGTGTGTTCTTTTTCTTTAGAATTTTCAAATAAACTTGACGTGTTTTATGATTAATAGTGATGTTGTGCTTGTACTATTTTGGACACACTGTTCTCAGGCTCCAGCTTTATGTTGTATGTTGATCGTATTAAAACAAAGAAAACAATCTGAAGTTGTTGTTTTTAAGTTACATATACCATGATTTTTCCGGTCCGGCCCACTTGGGAATAGATTTTCCTCCATGTGGCCCCTGAGCTAAAATGAGTTTGACACCCCTGTTGTAGAGCATGAACCTACACCGCTTTGATGTTAGCAGAGAACGACAGGGTGTTGTCCAGGGTCACGCCAAGGTTCTTTGCACTCTGGGAGGAGGACACAATGGAGTTGTCAACCGTGATGGCGAGATCATGGAGCGGGCAGTCCTTCCCCGGACTGAAAAACTTTAAATAGTTTCAACGATATTTACGGTATTGAATAACTGTCTCGTGCACATTTCCAAATACCCCGGTATATACGGTATACCGCCCAAGCCTAGTCACTATACCTCTACACATCACCAGTGGGACAAGGCCAACCTGCTAGCCCCCAGTATTGTCTACAATGCATACAAATATATGTTTTGCAGTATAAAGGACTGTTTTCATTTAATTTTTGTACTTTTACCCTGTTTTTCTCCCCAATTTCATGATATCCAATTGGTAGTTACAGTCTTGTCCCATCGCTGCAACTCCCCTACAGACTCTGTAGAGGCGAAGGTCGAGAGCCATGCGTCCTCCAAAACACGACCCTGCCAAGCCGGAAGACAGACGCACCAATGTGTCTGAGGAAACACTGTCTAGCTGGCGACTGAAGTCAGCTTGCAGGTGCCCGGCCAGCTACATGGAGTCGCTAGAGCGCGATGGGACAAGGAAATCCCGGCCGGCCAAACCCTCCCCTAACCCGGACGACGCTGGGCCAATTGTGTGCCGCCTCATGGGTCTCCCGGTCACGGCCAGCTGTGACACAGCCTGGGATCGAACCCGGGTCTGTAGTGACGCCTCAAGCACTGCGATGCAGTGCCTTAGACCGCTACGCCACTCGGGAGGCCTCTTATTAAATAAGCTAAATAAAACAGAAAATATATTAGTCTTACAGTACCGGTGTTCAATTTCCTCAAATAGTGCACATGGTTGCTATATTGAACACACGTCAGTATATTCTCTCTTTTGTCTGCTCCACGGTGGACATAACCAGGGGTGCTCATTCTCTCACTTGTCCACAAGTAAACCTCCACCAGGACATCACTGGCTGATTTGCTCTTTAAGAGGTGTCTTATGTAGTAGGGGGATCAATGGCTTAGCAAGCTTCTGTAAAAAGTATTCTACATATTTGTTTAACGATCTTATTGAAAAAAACTGGGCCTGAGTTTTCTACAAAAAAAAAAAGGATCACTCGATTACTTAACGTTTTCTTCCTCCTCCCCCCTCAGCTTTGTACCATGCTCAGAAAGGATCCATGTGGCTGTGAGAGAGATGGCCACCCTGTTTCCTAAGGTAAGCTGGGATGACCTCCAACAGACACTCCTCCTTTGTATGCAAGAGCCAGAGGGTTGTTTGTTTGGTCAACATGGGTGGGAAATAAATGTCCTGCATCTTAACTCAACTGGTGTTCTTTTGTTAGATGTTGCACTCTTTCTTCCGGGTGGGGAGATGTGGATAAACAAACAGACACATAATGCCAGTAAATCCACCCCTTACACTGCAGTGTTAAGAGGACCGTTAATGGCCAATGTTTTGCTAACCGTACCCCCTGCCTCCTCTCTCCTTTCCTCAGAGGCCTTACTCAGACACAGTGCGAGGGTCTCTGCGGCTGCTCACCTCTAGTGCCAGCCGGCTCCAGGGGGAGTGCCAGAAGGCCACGCCCCACGACCCTTGCCCCTCCGACATGCAGCTGGTCACGCAGCAGGTCATCCAGTGTGCCTATGACATTGCCAAGGCTGCCAAGCAACTCGTCACTGTGACAACCAAAGAAAACAGCAACTGATTTTTAACCCAAAGACTAACATCCCTCTTGGACATTTGATAATATATATTATCAGTACTAATTTCAAGTTAGTGTTTATCAGTGTTACCATTGTGTTATTTGTATGCAACCATTTCTTATTTAAAGTACTCAAATGGTCATAGTAGATTTCTAGTGAAGAACGTTTACAGAAAGTGTACCTTGCGAAATGTGGGTCACCCCAGGGATTTGTCCATGGGTTTGTCTGTTAGATATACTCATACTGCTAGTGTGTGACGACCTGCCTATCTGGACTTACCTCAAAAGGAGACATTCTAGTTACATTGAAGTTACTAAACAGTTCTGCAACGTTACACATTTAAACAGCCTTGGATCAATTTCAGGTGGCTGAACATTTGTGGTTGCTGGGAGTGCTTGTCCTTGGTGCTCTCTGCTATGCAACAAGGACACGTGGCTGTCCAAAGCTTTCAAACAGTTTGCTTTTAGCTTCTTATTCAAGGCTAAACACATTGGGATCTTGAACATACAGTCCGGTACATAATTATTGGCACCCTTGATCCCCATTGAACACTTGTGGTTTGAATTGAAGAGGGCAGTCCATAAGAGCAGGAGGAATGGTCTAACATCCCTCTCAACGTGTTCTCCAATCTCATAATACATTTTAGAAAAAGGCTCAGTGTCATCCTCACAAGGGGAGGGTGATAGAGTATTGAAAACGGGTGGCAATAATTTGGAATTTTTTCTTAAGCAAAATCTCTTTCTGAGTATATTATAAAATATATATATTTTTTTTAACATACAATACACCTCAGTATTTGTATTTATTTTATACAGTATTTTCTGCTCATCTTTATCAAGGGTGCCAATAATTATGGGCCTGATTGTAGTTTAGTGGAATACTGAGCCATGATGCGTCCATTACAATATTTTCCTGAAGGTATTTTCCCATGAATGCCATTTTTATGTTTCATGCCAAAGCCATAAAGGGTGAGGACAACTGCCAAGTCAGGTTTCCATTGTTTAGTTTCTTTTTGTAGTTGTTTGAGCTCAAAAGGGAAAGCCATACCTCCAATGTAGCCGTACCTCACACACAAGCCCAATATCAATTTTGTTTTAGTGTAGTGTGTATTTTAAGACATTTATCCCAAAGGGATACTCAAAACAGCCAACCCAAACTCTATTTGTTATATTTTTTTACGAAAGTATGAAAATGTACAAACCATCTATTCTTAATTCATACGACCCTTATCTATATTCTATGTATGAATACAATATCTCACACCTAACAAATTGTCAACATTTATTTTCATAAAATGTATGTTTAACAGTTAAAGTTCCCTCCTATATATTCTGTGCTGTTTTAAGGCATGCAAGTTTTCATCTTGGGGATGTCTTCTATACAGCATTTGTATTTCAATATATCCACAGGAAATCAGTTGGGCTTGTGATCTCTCTCTCTGTCTCTCTGTGTGTGTGCGCGCAAAACCTAGCCTGTGTGTGTCCCGTGATTTACATTGTCTTTATTGTGCTGCTAGTGGTATAACATGTGCATCTAATAGGGTTTTAAGATGTGTTAAAAGCATTTGTCATGGTATATGTAATATGGGCGTACAGGGGGTCATGTGTTTTCCAGGGATGCATTTGTGTGCTATTGCGTGTTATGAGCCAGACAACAGTCATAGAGTTATTGACATTGCGGTTGAAATAAAGACCTGCCTTTTTAAAGTAATAAACTTTCATTTATAACTCAACTATTACAGTTTGTTATATATTACTCAATGTATAAATAATGAATAGGCCTACCTATTAGGCTACAGTTTGTTCTGTCATATATCCTTCTGATTTTCATGTTCCATTTTTTTGTTTGTTTCGTTTATTGATAATTTTATCAAACGGTGATGTTTTGTACAGTAGCGTTGCCCATTGAATAAACCACAGGTGTGTTCCGTGTCTAAACGTGACATGCCATTCGCGTATTTAACTCAGACATGTTTATTTATTAATTTTTTATAACACTTGAAGGGACATAAAGCGATCAGCGCGCCCCCACCAACTTGGTGCGCCTTGCCAAAGTATACAGTTCAGTTGCCTTGCACAGTGAAAACGGAAGAAAACAATCGTGATCATTCTGTAGTTAGTCGTATTATTTCAGAAAACGATGGCACTTTTAATGGATAACCAATTCGGACAACGCAGTGAATACAAAGTTGTTTCTGGAGTCAGTGGCATATCTTCCACCATTTTTTCGTGAGTAGACCACCTGCCTATCCTTGGTCTTCATGACTTCATGAAATTGTAGAGACGCTCAAGCTGTCTCACCGTCACCGATACCTTTGTCTAGAAAATATCGTCACGTCATTTTCTTTCTGTCTCACTTTCCATGGTTGTGTAACAACTATAACGACATTTTGAAATAAACTAACTGAAAAACAGTAAACTTACATTGTTATTTAGTCTAACAAAACACAGGTTTGATATGCTGCGTTCATGTCATGTCGGAAATGTCCGACTTGCTAAACTAGGCGGAAGAGTCGGCTCAAATGATGTACAGTGGGGAGAACAAGTATTTGATACACTGCCGATTTTGCAGGTTTTCCTACTTACAAAACATGTAGAGGTCTGTAATTTTTATCATAGGTACACTTCAACTGTGAGAGACGGAATCTAAAACAAAAATCCAGAAAATCACATTGTATGATTTTTAAGTAATTCATTTGCATTTTATTGCATGACATAAGTATTTGATCACCTACCAACCAGTAAGAATTCCGGCTCTCACAGACCTGTAAGTTTTTCTTTAAGAAGCCCTCCTGTTCTCCACTCATTACCTGTGTTAACTGCACCCGTTTGAACTCGTTACCTGTATAAAAGACACCTGTCCACACACTCAATCAAACAGACTCCAACCTCTCCACAATGGCCAAGACCAGAGAGCTGTGTAAGGACATCAGGGATAAAATTGTAGACCTGCACAAGGCTGGGATGGGCTACAGGACAGTAGGCAAGCAGCTTGGTGAGAAGGCAACAACTGTTGGCGCAATTATTAGAAAATTGAAGAAGTTCAAGATGACGGTCAATCACCCTCGATCTGGGGCTCCATGCAAGATCTCACCTCGTCGGGCATCAATGATCATGAGGAAGGTGAGGGATCAGCCCAGAACTACACGGCGGACCTGGTCAATGACCTGAAGAGAGCTGGGACCACAGTCTCAAAGAAAACCATTAGTAACACACTACGCTGTCATGGATTAAAATCCTGCAGCGCACGCAAGGTCCCCCTGCTCAAGCCAGCGCATGTCCAGGCCCGTCTGAAGTTTGCCAATGACCATCTGGATGATCCAGAGGAGGAATGGGAGAAGGTAATGTGGTCTGATGAGACAAAAATAGAGCTTTTTGGTCTAAACTCCACTCGCCGTGTTTGGAGGAAGAAGAAGGATGAGGACAACCCCAAGAACACCATCCCAACCGTCAAGCATGGAGGTGGAAACATCATTCTTTGGGGATAATTTTCTGCAAAGGGGACAGGACGACTGCACCGTATTGAGGAGAGGATGGATGGGGCCATGTATCGCAAGATCTTGGCCAACAACCTCCTTCCCTCAGTAAGAGCATTGAAGATGGGTCGTGGCTGGGTCTTCCAGCATGACAACGACCCGAAACACACAGCCAGGGCAACTAAGGAGTGGCTCCGTAAGAAGCATCTCAAGGTCCTGGAGTGGCCTAGCCAGTCTCCAGACCTGAACCCAATAGAAAATCTTTGGAGGGAGCTGAAAGTCCGTATTGCCCAGCGACAGCCCCGAAACCTGAAGGATCTGGAGAAGGTCTGTATGGAAGAGTGGGCCAAAATCCCTGCTGCAGTGTGTGCAAACCTGGTCAAGACCTACAGGAAACGTTTGATCTCTGTAATTGCAAACAAAGGTTTCTGTACCAAATATAAAGTTATGCTTTTCTGATGTATCAAATACTTATGTCATGCAATAAAATGCAAATTAATTACTTAAAAATCATACAATGTGATTTTCTGGATTTTTGTTTTAGATTCCGTCTCTCACAGTTGAAGTGTACCTATGATAAAAATTACAGACCTCTACATGCTTTGTAAGTACGAAAACCTGCAAAATCGGCAGTGTATCAAATACTTGTTCTCCCCACTGTATATAAACCTTGGATTGCTGATTATATGTATTGGCCAATGAGAGGCTTTGAAGCCACCGGTCGGCCATATTGGCACTCCTCAGAAAAGCAGTCCTCCATAGGAATGAATGGAGCTCTACAGTATTTCATTTAAATGTTTCATGTAGGCTGTTTAAGTATTTTGTTGTAGTGTGGACAGTAACATTAGTACTTTATAAAAGTTATACAGTGGCTTGCAAAAGTTTTCACCCCCCATTGGCATTTTTCATATTTTGTTGACCTTTATATGAACCTGGAATTGAATTGACTTTTTTTGGGGGCCGGGGTTGGTATCATTTTATGTACACACAACATGCCATACCACTTTGAAGAGGATAAATAACTGAATAAGACCAAAAAAAACTGAAAACTTGAGCGTGCAAAACTATTCAACCCCCCCCCCCCCCCCCCCCAAAGTCAATACTTTGTAGAGCCACATTTTGCAGCAATTACAGCTGCAAGTCTCTTGGGGTATGTCTCTATAAGCTTGGCACATCTAGCCACTGGGATTTTTGCCCATTCTTCAAGGCAAAACTGCTCCAGCTCCTTCAAGTTGGATGGGTTCCGCTGGTGTACAGCAATCTTTAAGTCATACCACAGATTCTCAATTGGATTGAGGTCTGGCCTTTGACTAGGCCATTCCAAGACATTTAAATGTTTCCCCTTAAACCACTCGAGTGTTGCTTTAGCAGTATGCTTAGGGTCATTGTCCTGCTGGAAGGTGAACCTCCGTCCCAGTCTCAAATCTCTGGAAGACTGAAACAGGTTTCCCTCAAGAATTTCCCTGTATTTAGCACCATCCATCATTCCTTCAATTCTGACTAGTTTCCCAGTCCCTGCCGATGAAAAACATCCCCACAGCATGATGCTGCCGCCACCATGCTTCAATGTGGGGATGGTGTTCTCGGGGTGATGAGAGGTGTTGGGTTTGCGCCAGACATAGCGTTTTCCTTGATGGCCAAAAAGCTCAATTTGAGTCATCTGACCCGAGTACCTTCTTCCATATGTTTGGGGAGTCTCCCACATGCCTTTTGGTGAACACCAAACGTGTTTGCTTATTTTTTTCTTTAAGCAAGGGCTTTTTTCTGGCCACTCTTCCGTAAAGCCCAGCTCTGTGGAGTGTACGGCTTAAAGTGGTCCTATGGACAGATACTCCAATCTCCGCTGTGGAGCTTTGCAGCTCCTTCAGGGTTATCTTTGGTCTCTTTGTTGCCTCTCTGATTAATGCCCTCCTTGCCTGGTCTGTGAGTTTCGGTGGGCGGCCTTCTCTTGGCAGGTTTGTTGTGGTGCCATATTCGTTCAATTTTTTAATAATGGATTTAATGGTGCTGCGTGGGATGTTAAAAGTTTCAGATATGCACACACCACTTTTTTGTTCTTTTTTTTTTTTGAATTTTTTGAAACACGTTTTTTTATTTTTTTCCACTTCACCAATTTGGACTATTTTGTTTATGTCCATTACATGAAATCCAAATAAAAATCAATTTAAATTACAGGTTGTAATGCAACAAAATAGGAAAAAACGCCAAGGGGCACTGTACTTTAAGGAAAAAAGTTTTATGTTTAGTTCACATATAATTTAAAAATATGCATTAAGGTGTCTGTAGTAGAATACATGTGGCAAAAACAAATGTAGACATTAATAAATGCATTTCTATAGCTTCCAAAATATTTTTTACAATGGTGGGGGAGTGCCAAGATGGAGGCGTGGTGGCTTCAAAACAGAGTCCCGTCAGTCATCTATACTGAACTAAAATATAAACACAACATGTAAAGTGTTGGTCCCATGTTTCATGATCTGAAATAAAAGATAGCCGAAATGTTGGATACACACAAAAAGCTAATTTCTCTCATTTTGTGCACAATCCCTGTTAGTGAGAATTTCTCATTTGCCACCTAACAGGTGTGGCATATCAAGAAGCTGATTAAACAGCATGATCATTACACAGGTGCACCTTGTGCTGGGGCCAATAAAAAGCCACTCTAAAATGTGCCGTTTTGTCACACAACACAATGCCACAGATGTCTCAAGTTTTGTGGGAGTGTTCAAGTGGCATGCTGACTGCAGGAATGTCCACCAGAGCTGTTGCCAGAGAACTGAATGTTCATTTCTCTACCATAAGAGAATTTGGCAGTATGTCCAACCGGCCTCACAACCGCAGACCACGTGTAACCAAGCTAGCTCAGGACCTCCACATACTGCTTATTCACCTGCGGAATCGTCTGAGACCAGCCACCCGGACAGCTGATGAAACTGGGTTTGCACAACCGTAGGATTTCTGCACAAACTGTCAGAAACCGTCTCAGGGAAGCTCATCTGCGTGCTCGTCGTCCTCACCAGGTTCTTGACCTGACTGCAGTTTGGCGTCGTAACAGACTTCAGTGGGCAAATGCTCACCTTCGATGCCCACTGGCACGTTGGAGAAGTGTGCTTTTCAAGGATGAATCCTGATTTCAACTGTACCGTGCAGATGACAGACAGTGTGTATGACGTCGTGTGGGCGAGCGGTTTGCTGATGTCAACGTTGTGAACAGAGTGCCCAATGGTGGTGGTGGGGTTATGCTATGGGCAGGCATAAGCTACGGACAATGAACACAATTGCATTTTATCGATGGCAATTTGAATGCACAGATATACAGTGATGAGATCCTGAGGCCCATTGTCGTGCCATTCATCCTCCTCCATCAAATCAAATCAAATTGTATTTGTCACATTCGCTGAATACAACAGGTGTGAAATGCTTACTTACACCACATCACCTCATGTTTCAGCATGATAATCCGTGTCGCAAGGATCTGTACACAATTCCTAGAAGCTGAAAATGTCCCAGTTCTTCCATGGCTTGCATACTCACCAGACGTCACCCATTGAGCAAGTTTGGGATGCTCTGGATCGACGTGTACGACAGTGTGTTCCAGTTCCCGCCAATATCCAGCAAGTTTGCATAGCCATTGAAGAGGAGTGGGACAACATTCCACAGGCCACAATCAACAACCTGATCAACTCCATGCAAAGGAGATGTGGCAAATGGTGGTCACACCAGATACTGACTGGTTTTCTGAATCACGCCCCTACCTTTTTTTTAAAGGTATCTGTGACCAACAGATACATATCTGTTTTCCTAGTCATGTGAAATCCATAGATTAGGGCCTAATGAATTTATTTCAATTGACTGATTTCCTTATATGAAATGTAACTCAGTAAAATCTTTGAAATTGTTGCATGTTGCGTTTATATTTTTGTTCAGTGTAGTGTATATATAAATCATTGGTCAGATCCCGAGTTTCCCACTTGGGTGGTAACAGAATTAACCAATAGGAAGCTCTACTCAAATAACTTTTATTCATTTTAACTCTGAGTTCCCGAGTTTCTGACATGACATGAACGTAGCAATAAAGTGGGCTATTCCTTGTCTTTGACCTAGTTGAATAAATAACAAATGATGTGGAGTGAGTACAGCATTATAATTACTTGATCAAAGTCAGACTTGCAAAGGTTACCATCACCCATACTAATAAAGTACCATAATAACCTTTTATGCAATTTTGAATGAGCCACAAATAAACTATCTTTGTGGATGGCTCAATCATAGGCTCATCTTGGGATTTAAATGGGCTATTGTCTGTTAAGTGTTGTAACAACCTTGCACAATGTTGTTTTGACATCTTGGAAATGTCAATGAATAGTCTAGGCATAAAGCTTACGAATCTGATTTTAAAACCAAGGAAGATATTGTAAAAAGGTAGTGAAACTAAAGGAGTGAAACCCCAGGGCAAGAGGAACCATGTGAATGTGGGTTTGTATGGAGCTGCTGTAGCCCCTCTCTTTCCTCCCACACTACACGCTGCATTGGCCTCCTTGTGACGTCAGACTATATGATTGGACCCTTTTCTCTATTGATTGCCCAACAAGAAACAATCATAGAATTACCATAATTATTGTCTGATTTCTAAATCTTTCCTCCCCCCAAGAAGGCGTCCAGCTACGTCCAAGATGCTGAGTCTGCATATACTCACAACTGCTTGGTTGCATTTCGATTAAATGTTTAATTCCTCTCCTTTCCAGGCTGCCTGGGGTCAAAAGTATTTGTTCCTATCAAATCAGACATCAGTGGCAATATAACAGTAAGCATGTTTTCCACACACTCTAATTGTGCCTTGTGCGTAAGTAAACCTACTGCAATTTATGTCTATAACTAATGCCTAAGCTCATACATTTGGATGGTAATATTTTTCTTCCAGAACATCTGAGGTGTGTTTGACAAGGACCCTGCCAAGTATGCAACACTACAGCAGATAGTGGAGGCAGAGAAGGAGGCACATGGCACAGAGTGGCCCAAAGAGGGAGCCACCTTGGCCCTAATGTGGCTGAAGAGGTGAGCTCAGAATCATCATGTGAATGTGTTAAAGCAGAGGTTTGTGCAGCCTAAAGGCCGTGAAATTGTGTGCTTATGTCTAGATCGAGATCTACATATCATGAATAATGGTGCGACTGAAATCAGGTGAGTTAAGCTGATTGTCCTCTCCCACAGAGGTCTCTGTTTCATCCAGATCCTGCTGAAGAGCTTGGCAGACGGAGTGAAAGACGAGAACAACCCTGACCTCATCCGTGTCAACATCACCAAAGCCTACGACCAGGCCCTGAAGAAATACCACAGCTGGCTAGTGCAGAAGATCTTTAAGGTAAGACCATGTGACTAAAGTCATGTGGTAGCATAGTCTTGACCTCCTTTGACCCTTGACCTGGTTTTCTACTTAACCCTGGTTCTCAAGCACCTCTGAGTGTATTGATTTCATATTGAACTTCATTCTCCCAAAGTAAAACATTTATAAATGTAATAACTGAAAACTACATTGTTGAATTTGAATGTAGATTAACTGCTCAGTGAAGGTGTACTAACTATGTAACAGACCTGGGTTCAAATACTATTTAGGGTATTACTTTCAAAGACATTTGGAAGTAGGTATTTAGAAAAGTTTTATTTGAAAAGACAAGTAGTTGAATATGGGAATATATTTGGAAATAGACTTGGAAAGTATTTGAAAATACTCAAATACACTGACTCAAATAAAATATACAATCTTCCGAAAACATCTGAAACCCTTCAAAGAGTGTATCTTAAATAATACATCGGTCATAACCATGTCATAATATCATAACTGACATAAATTGTCATAACCTGTCATAATATGGTCATAACACTGTCATTACCCATATATTTACACCTGTTGTGACTTATATTGCATTATTTTATGGCTGGTTATGACACCTACATAAGAGTGTCAAAACCCACATTGAAAGTGGCTAATATTGCGTTGATTCGAGCACAATTCCCACAGTAGAGCGAAACATTGATAGTGTGAACTAAAGGGGAAAAAACTAGAAAGTTAAGTGAAGTTCAATCTCGTGCTTCTCTGCGCGGGCTGATATTTCTTCTAAGCCTGCAGCTTATGACACTGGGTGTCAAGTTAAGTGTTACCGAAATTATTTGATAATACTTTCAAATACTTCCAATATAAGTAGTTAATTCATGCCATATTATTTGAAAATACTCAAATAAACTAAAAATACGTATTTAAATAACATGTACTCAAATACACACGTACATGTATTTGAACATAGGTCTGCCATGTAACAACTGGATTTCTCCCTGTCCCCTCCAAGCAGCTTTGCTTGCAGCACCCTACAAGTCAGACTTTATCAAGGCCCTCTCAAAAGGTAAAGAGGTCACAGAGGAGGACTGCATGGCTAGTGTACGCCAGTTCCTTGTCAATTTCAAGGCCACTGTGGATGCCATCTATGAGATGTACACAACACTGAATGCAGAGCTGGACTATAGCGTTTGATGTTGTCCCCCAAACCGGACTGCAGCAGCATCCTGCATGTTACTTTCTTCCAGTCTTCTGTATTTCGTCCTTTCTCTCAGGTGATGGAACATTCCAGCTTTTGAGGATTTTATTTCAAAGAAGATGATTTTATCCGTGTCACCATTTTTATTATTACTTTTCTGTCCCTCCTTTTAAATTCCTCCCTGAATGTTGATAGTTTGGCCGATGATGAGTTGCTACTGGACAGAAAGTGTTGAGTGTTTTCTAAATTGTACAGGTGTAGCACAGCTCTTGGTGTGTAAACCTATTGTGCAGTCTGCTGCTGTTACACGTGATTCACCAGAGGTAAGAGACATTCAGAAGTGATATCCTGAGACCTGGTCAGTGTTATTCTAGTACTGCATCTCTCTCTCTGTGGGAGGGGGAGAGTATTTCTGCTATTGATTGACAATGCACACGACTCATGAAATCCCTACTGTAACTCTGCTCAGAAATGTGAGATAGTGCCCTCTAGCTTCTGGGAAAGTCAACTATCCCATGCCTTTAGAGATTATAACCACCATTAGTGGTTTTAGTGCCTTATGTTGTCTATCAAGTGATGTTTTGTTTGCGTGGCTTTTGCATGCTTGTTTGAACAACTGAACGTTTAGTTGAGTAGGGTTGCACTTCTTACATGTATTTTTGTGTTAACGATTTAAGTCTGTAAGAGTTTCCATCAGTGGAATCCATATTTTAAATTCCTTCAATTTTGTCAACACAATGCCAAACAGTATTTGGCACATACATTTACATGTCAGTTTCATTCACTATTGGGTTGTCGTACTTCATACTATTTTGAAAGCATTTATTTTTTATTTCCAAAAGGTTATTTCAGAAATGGTAATGTATTTGCTAATTGTTGGAAACTGAGGGGAGTCATTCTATAGTGCTGGTGACATGGTTTTGGACCAATCAAAAGAACAAAGTCAATGCATCTATTTATTCATTTGCAAGAGACATGCTTTGGTTTGTACTGTGTATATACCTGGAATATGGTTATGTGCATTGCTCACATTGCAGTGATTTGTTTTTTTTAAATCTCTAAACAACCTGTAGATTTCAAATTATGAACCTAATTTATATTGCATTTTTAAGATTAAATGGTGAATTGAAGTCATGGTGTATTTCATCACTTTATACCACAAGCCAATGGATTAAACCAGCTACTGCCTACCTGTCATAAGAGGCAATTCACTTGTCAACCTCATGGAGGGGACATTTACTAAATAAATGTAAATTCATTGATTTGTGCCCTTCTCAAGGGATGCAGTTGCAACTTTTATCCAACAGAGGTCACCTTCTGTGTATTTACACACAACATAAAAATTGTGTACATACTTCATGTGCTGTAAATAAAAGGGCATATATTTGATAAACATACTGCAACACTTTCACCCTATACATTTACTCAGCATCTTTATTACCAATAGCATTACACAGTCAAGGTAATAGGGTGACCGCTTTAATGAGAGATCCTTCCCCTTTTCACCGATCCCATCTCACCCATACCTTCCCCATATTCCACTGACTCTAATCCCAATTTCCCCCCCATTATCTCCCCTCTCTGTCCCTGAGGGACTGTGGTGGTGCTAAAGGACAGAGTGGCTCCTGTCCCTCTAATCCTTTGTGAGTGTGTGCTGTGCAGGGTGAACAGGCCTCTTAATCCTGCAGGTTTATCAGCACAGCTGCCTCAGAGCCCAGCCAGGAGCCAGGACACAGACAGACAGCCAGGATAGGCAGACAGACAGCATGGGAGGAACAGGAAGGGAAGCCTCCTGGCAGGGCAGACGAAACACAAAAAGACCAGACGGGGCCTCACCGACAGCTCCACCTTTACGACAGGCCTACTCAACACCTAAACACTGAAGAAACAAAGCTAAATCAACAGCCCCTATTTACAGCAGTAGTGTCAAACATGCCGCCCCCGATCTGATTTATTGTGGCCCCATTTGTGCGCCTAACAGGAATGAGCTTTTTACATACAGGGCCTTCAGAAAGTATTCATACCCCTTGACTTATTCCACATTTTGTTGTGTTAAAGTCTGAATTAAAAATGGATTAAATATTATTTTTGTATCACCCATCTACACACAATACCCCATAATGACAAAGTGAAAACATGTTTTCTGAAATTTGTGCAAATTTATTGAAAATGAAATACATCAATATCTCATTTACATAGGTCATCACACCCCTTTGCTATTACACTCAAAACTGAGCTCAGGTGCATCCAATTTCCTTTGATCATCCTTCAACTTGATTGGAGTCCACCTGTGGCCAATTTAATTGTTTTGGACATGATTTAGAAAGAAACACACCTGTCTATAAAAGGGTTCACAGTTGACAGTGCATGTCAGAGCAGGAACTATACCATGAAGTCCAAGGAACTGTCTATAGATCTCAGAGAAGATTTATGTTCCAACAGGACAGTGACCGCAAGCATGCAGCCAAAGCAACGCTGGAATGGCTTCAGAACAAGAATGTGAAAGTCCTTGAGTGGCCCAGCCAAAGCCCAGACTTGAATCCCATTGAAAATCAGTGGAAAGACTTGAAGATTGCTGTTCACCGTCACTCCCCCTCGAACTTAACAAAGCTTGAGAAAATCTGCAAGGAAGAATGGGAGAAAATCTCCAAATACAGATGTGCAAAGCTGATACAGACATACCCAAGACGACTCAAAGCTGTAATCGCCACCAACTGTGCTTCTACAAAGTATTGATTCAGAAGGGTGTGAATACTTATGTAAATTACAAAATACAGATTTCTGTATTTCATTTTCAGTAAATTTGCAAACATAAAAAAAAAACTTGTTTTCACTTTGTCATTATGGGGTATTGTGGGTAGATGGATAAGAAAAATATATATTTTGAATTTGGGCTGTAACAACAAAATGTGGAATAAGTCATGGGGTGTGAATACTTTGAAGGCACTGTACAGTATATGTAAGCAGAAGTGTTTTCTTTCTATTTCAGTTTAACCCTTCTCCTGATGTTTGAGTTAATAGAAATGGCCACTCAGCCAAACTGACTGACATCCCTGATATACAGGTATCATCAGACCTTTTCTGAGCTGACATTTTGGGAATGATGCAGAACCAGGACTGAAGGCACAGAACCTCTGGCTCCAGGCTAAATATTCAACAGCTCAGAGTTGGATAGCCCATTTCTGAATAATGGGATGATATACATTATTAAAAGTAATATATTCATGCGCATTTATCCTGAAGAGAGCATGTATTTTTCACACAAATGCAACACTGCAGGGAGAGGAGTGAGGGAAGGTCTATGGATTCCTCTTTCCATATATATATATATATATATATATATATATATATATATATATATATATATACACTGTATATATATGACTCTTTTAAGGTTCCACTAGCTCCAAGCTACCCCAATCTTTACTAGCCATTGTAACTACTGTAATAAAAGCCACTGCAGAGAATAGAATCCCCCCCTTCCAAAATTTACAAAAAAGCATCCCATTTCACCAGTCCACAGTAAATCCTTAGACAGTGATGCTATAATCATGTAATAGACATGCCGTTAAAAAAATTATTGGTTAAATTTAATTTTTAATGGGTTCACACTCAGTGATAGAACCTCAGTGGCCAGCAACAGTCCAACCACTTCCAATAGTACTATACTCCCGCTTTCTCCAAAGCCTAGTGTTATGAAACCAATAACTAGCCCACTGATTTTGCTGCACTCATTATGTCTAAGGCCTAGCTACAGTGCAGTCGGAAGGTATTCAGACCCCTTGACTTTTTCAACATTTTGTTACGTTACAGCCTTATTCTAAAATTGATTAAATTAATTTTTTTCCTCATCAATCTACACACAATACCCCATAATGACAAAGTGAAAACAGGTTTATAGATATTTTAGCAAAGTTATTAAAAATGAAAAACAAATACCTTATTTACATAAGTATTCTGACCCTTTGCTATGAGACTTGAAATTGAGCTCAGGTGCATCCTGTTTCCATTGATCATCCTTGAGATGTTTCTACAACCTGATTGGAGTCCACCTGTGGTAAATTCAATTGATTGGCCATGATTTGGAAAGGCGCACACCTGTCTATATAACGTCCGACAGTTGACAGTGCATGTCAGAGCAAAAACCAAGCCATGAGGTTGAAGGAATTGTCCGTAGAGCTCCGAGACAGGATTGTGTCGAGGCACAGATCTAGGGAAGGGTACCAAAACATTTCTGCAGCTTTGAAGGTCCCCAAGAACACAGTGGCCTCCATCATTCTTAAATGGAAGAAGTTTGGAACCACCAAGACTCTTCCTAGAGCTGGCCGCCTGTCCAAACTGAGCAATCGGGGGAGAAGGGCCTTGGTCAGGGAGGTGACCAAGAACCCGATGGTCACTCTGACAGAGCTCCAGAGTTCCTCTGTGGAGATGGGAGAACCTTCCAGAAAGACAACCATCTCTGCAGCACTCCACCAATCAGGCCTTTATGGTAGAGTGGCTAAACGGAAGCCAGTCCTCAGTAAAAGGCACATGACAGCCCACTTGGAGTTTGCCAAAAGGCACCTAAAGACTCTCAGACCATGAGAAACAAGATTCTCTGGTCTGGTCAAACCAAGATTGAACTGTATGGCCTGAATGCCAAGCGTCACTTCTGGAGCAAACCTGGCACCATCCCTACGGTAAAGCATGGTGGTGGCAGCATCATGCTGTGGGGATGTTTTTCAGCGGCAGGGACTGGGACACAAGTCAGAATCGAGGGAAAGATGAACGGAGCAAAGTACAGAGAGATCCTTGATGAAAACCTGCTTCAGAGCGCACAGGACCTCAGACTGGGGTGAAGGTTCACCTTCCAACAGGATAACGACCCTAAGCACATAGCCAAGACAACGCAGGAGTGGCTTCGGGACAATTCTCAATGTCCTTGAGTGGCCCAGCCAGAGCCCGAACGTGAACCCGATCAAACATCTCTGGAGAGACCTGAAAATAGCTGTGCAGC